AGCTGAATTTACTGTTCACTGAGATGGGTTCTTTTTTGGGGATGGAAGGAGGGAGTGTGGTATTCATGACAGACTCAATCAACACAGCACCTGGCACTGAGGAAGCTGTGTTGAAGTCTTTGCTCCTGTTCTTGGAGATACTTGTCTGAAGAGTCATCCAGTATGGAACTTGAAGAGTTCTCCATTTTGAATTCTGCCCCCTTCAGACTTCCATGTGTTCCTTGTATTTCACCCACCTTTATTCAGTTTTAAAATCAATTTTTGGTTCTTTGTCAGGTCCTTTCTGTGTTGGGAGGGTCACAAAGGGAATGCATATTTTTTTCATTGCTGCAGGAAGCTACTGTTGTGCTTAAGCACTTTCAAATAGTTTTCTGCAACCACAGAAGTGTTGTGCAATGAGAGCAAAGGGTGTGTGTGCCCTTGCCCTTCCTGCTGCAAGATAGTTGATCTTAACTTCCACGTGAATTGAAATGAGTGGATGTTGTCAGTTTTCAAACAGATTTAATTGTTATGGCTAAAGGGATTATTATTACATGAAGTGAACATACCATGTCTCTTTTTGTGATTGCTTTCACTTTTTCATTTTTATTTTCTCCATGTAATGCCATCAACAGTTTTCTCAAACTGATGCTGTATCCACAGAAAAGAAAAACATGTTGTGTGCAAAAAAACCTGGTGATCACATTTGAAGTCAGGTATCTGGCTTCTATGCCACTTTCTTGCTAGAACTGAGAAGTAGTGTCAGTACCACAAATGTAGTTTAATTTTTTTTTTAATTTTGTATTTTAAAAAGCCTAAATTAAAAAAGTTCTTGGCAAAGATGACAGGAATTTGGGCAAATAAGACAGGAGGAGATCATCTGTATCTAAATACAGATTTGATATCTTCAATAATCATGCATTATGTATTGTTCACAGCCATTAACATTCTTTTAATATTGTACTTTTAATGCAGATACATTATGTTCCACCTCTGCCTGTGTGCTTGCTTTGTCTGACTTTCTGTGGATTCCTGCAGTGAGTGGATGTCTTATGACATGCTCATTTAAAGGGATTCATCACTCCCATGTTTAGTACAGAGATTTCTCAAGTGATAAAAAGGTAATTAACTGTTGGGGATTTATCTGTAGTGAGATGCATTAAACCTTTGAAACTATACATTTGAAGTGGTATGGCTAAAGACCCTGGCTCAGGAGGCTTCCCTTCAAGAGCCAGCTGTTGCCTCAAATGCTCCCACCCCCGCCCTCCCTTCAAAAAAGAAACCCTGTAAGTTGAAAAACAATCTTCTGAAGGCTGTGAATGTTGCATATTATTAAATAGTGAGAATTTTGTATGTCCTCCATGTTTTAGTGAAATGTCTTCTGTGAGTCATGATTTTCAATCTAATTAACCAGTTTCTTGATGGTTGACTTGGAAAGAACAGTATAAATTACAATTCTGCAGCGTAGTGTGGCTGGTGAAAGTAATTTTCAGGTGCATTGCTGATACAAATGTCAGCAGAGAATTGTATGTAGATATGTTCTGTTGTAGATGCTGGTGATTGTGGTTAGAGCAGTGTATGGAATGATTAATCTTATCCTTTAGAAGCCATGGCTTAAAATATTATCTGTATTAGGAACATAAAATAATTCTATTGAATCAAATAATCTGTTCATCCGTACCAGAATAACATCTCCTACAGCTAGTAGTTTTCATCTCCAAAACTTCATCCTTATCTCAGACTTTGTTACCTTTTCCTGTTTATTACTTGAATAACTGGTTCGGCCATTTTTTTAATTGAGTCTTTGTTATGTCAGACATCCACTCTAAAGATGTGTGTGGACTTGGTATAGGGTTTTTTGTTTTTTTTTTTAAAATATCTTTGTGGCACCAAGTAACTTATCTACAAAAGTTGCATTCTGAATATGTTAAATCCTTTCATACAGCAGTGAGAATTATTTACATTCTTTATAGAAACACAGAAATTCCTTTGAATTACAGTATGAACAGATCTGTATACCCCAGATGATTATACTCAGTGAGTTCTGCAAACAGGTATGCTATTGTCTCCCAGTATATTTAATCTCAAAATACTTAACTCCATCAGAAGAATAGGTCATATTTAAAATATACTAGATCAACAGCAGTTAATTTTTTGGCCATGTTTAGTATTTCTGGTGTGCTAATATAGTGGAATAGAGCAAAGCAGGGAAAACCAAATGTGTCCAATTTGAGACTCGTTTGCTAAGAAAAACAGGTGCAAGCAGTTTGGTATTGTTTTCACCAGCGAGTGATGACCTTGCACGTCAGGTTCTGCCCATATAACTGCTTTAGTTACATGTACGAGGCAGAGGCCAAGAAAATGTGTTTTCTATTTTCAGTGAAGAAAATAATGTAGGACTATTTCTTGGTTTCACCTGCTTTGTCTGCACTTTAACATAAAGACAAACTTGAAACTTGAAAATTAGTTAATTTGAAGTCATGACACAATTTTACTGAATAGTATCTCTTGAGATTTTTTTCACATTGTCATATGGAACCTGTGAAATTAGAGCAACAAATAGAACAGAGTAGAGTATTTACTTTGTGTTGTTTACTGCATTTTATTGCTATTTCACATTCTTAGGTGTGTTCCCTTCTTGGCTTATCGAGTTTTTTAATACAGAAACAAAGAGAATGATGGGAGTTTTTTGAAAGGACAAATATATCGTAAATACACAGACTTTATGAAGGAGAGGCAGGCACAAGCACGTGTGTTTAGTACACTTCTGAAACTGGCCAGGTTTTCAGTTAGGTTGACAAATTACATTTCCATTCAGTTTTGGATAGACATAAAGCTGAGTGACCAGGATGAAAAATCTGTCAGTTCAGGTTAAGGTTTGAATAAACAGAGGTTAATTTTGGAGTATTTTGGGAAAACTACTGCAGTAATTAAAGATGACCCCCTGTGGTATTACACCCTGTGAGTTAAAGCTGGGACTGTTTTATAAAAGCAAGTTGCAGAGCACAAACATTACGTCTTGCATAATGTTGACAAAAGTAGTGAGAAATCCTTTAAATATAATGTTTATAGTCATGTAGTGGTTATTTTCTTCTAAAAAACAATAATTCCTTGTTGAGTGAGGAGGGATCATTTTTCTTTTTTCTTTTCTCTTTCCCCCAGAATTAGCGTAATGGTAACACTGTTTTATCCTCTTGTATATGTAATTGAATATTTTTGTCATCTCACAACTCATTAAGTTAGTTTTCCTTATTTAAGATCAGCCTTTTTTTCCTGCTGATGTAACTGTTGTGGTTTCCATAGCACACATCATCTTTAGCCCTCATTAATGAATATTCATACACTCATCCTTTCTTAAATAATTCTAGTTAGGAGCAGAAAATTTAAAAAACAACCCTCAAAACATGTTCCAAACAGCTCTTTCCTGTAAAGCAACATAGTTCAATACAAACAAAAGCTGTTGAAAATAATGCATTAAGAATGTAATACTCATATGCCTGTGCAGAACAATAGACATATTTTTAACTTAAACATTTACATTTTCAGTATCTTTATTAACCATTCAATATCTTAAGCAGCAGCATGCAGACCCTTAGTGAGTTTGGGAATGACACCAAGCATACTAGTGCAGATGAAGGGATTGAGGGAAGGGACACCGTCCAGCGGCACCCTGACAGACTTGAGAAGTGATTCCATGGGAAACTCATGAAGTTCAACAACGCCAGGTGCTGCACCTGGTCCTGCATCTAGGTTAGAGCAATCTCCAGGATCAGTACAGGCTGGAGGATGAATAGATTTGAGAGTGGCCCAATGAGGACTTGGGGATTCTGGTAGATAAAAAGTGAGATGTGAGCTGACCATGTGTGCTGGCACCCCAGAAAACCAATTTCATCGTATACAAAGAAGCTTTGCCAGCAGGTCAAGGGGTGTGATTCTCTTCCTCTGCTGTGTTTTTGTGAGACTGCACTTGGAGTCCTGTGTCCAGCTCTGGAATCCCTAGCACAGGGAAGACATGGACTATTTGGAGTGAGTCCAGAGAAGGGCCACAGAAACAATCAGAGCTCTGGAGTGCCTCTTCCATGAGGAAGGACCGAGATAGTTGGGGTTTTTCAGCTCAATGAGAAGGAGGTGTCAGGGCAACGTTATTGTGGCCCAAACCATACTTTGATTCTAAAAAAATCAAATTTTTAAAATTGTCTTGTTTGAACCTATTCTGCATTTTCAGAATAAGAAATGCAGAATTCCAGGTGGTGGTTACTTGGAATAACTTCTAATAAAAGCAAGCTTTTTGACTGTGATCAAAGCTTTTGCCTTACAAGGGGTTGTACCGATTAAAATTATGATGCAGTCACAGAGAAGCAAAGATATTCTTCAACTGGCTTTTGGAATATGCTGTTTAATCTCACATTTTTAAACTGTTTTTTCATTATCAAATATATGTGTGGTTATTTTTTACATTATTAGTCTTTGATTACATTTATCAGAGATGACTGTTATTTTAATGGCAGATAAAATGATTTTTTTCTGGAAGAAGGTGGTCTTGGAAGATTGCCCATTCCTAGGTCAACAAACCATGTCTGTTAGATTCTCATCTCAGCACTTTTTTGAAGTGTTTGCTTACAAGGAAAATTCAGCTGCAAGGTGCTGTTTTTGTCCTTCTCTCCATCAGTGCAAGTTTGTGACCCAACTAGATCTTGTTGAAGCAATTCTTTTGGCATTCAGGTTTAATTAGCATGTTGCAGGTGAGCACATGCTGTCTCAAGTCCAGTGAAAAGTGATAATCCTCTAGCTGAACTCCCAGTTTAGATTTTGTTTTTTCCTTTAATACTGTCAGTTACTTTTCCTCTAGGGCTATATAGTAAATCGAGGAGAAACTTTGCTTTTCGTAAACCACCTAATCTGTTTGCTTGTCTTCAAGTTCTAATGATTTTCAGTGTCAGAACAGTACTGTCACCAAATATGAATATTACAAATAAAACCAAGTGCAGTTAGTCAAGAAGTATTTCTTATATTTCTTTCAGGCAGATGCTTTGAACAGAACCAAAACAAACTATGGCTTGTCTTACAATGACAAATATGGAAAGTACAGCAACTTCTACTGTCCACCAGAATGGTGACATCCGTGGAAATAGCAGTGCACCCAAGCAGACAGAACCATTGCTTCAAGTGTACCTTTATCATTCTCCTGGGAAGACAGAAGGAGACTACCTTCAATTTTCAGCTGGAGAATATATTGCAGAAGAGATTTGTGCTGTTGCCTGTAAAGCCTGTGGTAAGTATATACCTAACAGTTTATAATATAATGAAGCAGTGAAATCCAGCTTCATACAAGAAAGTTTTCAACAATCCAGAGCTCATCAAAATGGTGGCATTTAGACTGTTCTCTGTTCTTTCAGATGTAATTAGCTCCAGACTGTGAAACTGTTCCCATTATAGTGGTTGTGAAGCTGAATTGGGTGACTGCCATATTTTTTCAAATAATTTAAGGGTATACCATCCTGTAACTGAAAGTTGTCTTTCATTGAGCTAAGTTTGAATAGTTAAATCATAGCAGGAGCTGTAAATAGCTTGAATTACTTCCTGATGCAGTCCTGCACAACAGATTGGTCCTGGAGGTTATGTGCATATGTTGTATATTATACATGCTTAGTCACTTTGCAGAAGGAAACTGTTCTGTTAGATACAACATGAGTGCTTGTGTGTGTGGTTGATACTCTTCAAAATGGTTTAGGAAATTAAGTGTGTCAATAACATGGTGGTATATTATAAATAAGTAATACATTGATATCTAAGAATGCCTTTGAATTGTTGCATTTACCCAGAATCTAACATACACTAGGGCTGAAATCTGTAGTAAAATAATTCAAGCTTGGATTTTGTGCATGCATCTTTCTTTGCTAAAGTACGTTGGATTTTTTAATAAAACAAATCCATTCCTATAATCTCTGGGTATGAAAATGATCTTCCTTCTGTGGTTTTTTCTCTTTCATAGCAACCATTAGTGCTTAAATCATGAGGTATTGCTTCTTATTGTTTATTATTCTTTTTTTTTTTTTTCTGAGAGGATTTTTTGGTTGTACATCAGAACAGATATGGCTCCATACAGTCAAATAGTGTTTGTTTGCAAGACTCATCTTTCAGGAGTAAGCTATGAGTCAGAATACTTGGTTAAGAAGAGAGTGATTTGGGTAGTAAGCAAGACTGAAATATAACAAATTTGGTAATTGTTACTTAATTTTGCAATCTGAGAAACTCATAGATCTTTTGATAGCAGAGCTGATTATATCCAACTATGACTGCTGTTGGAGGCAAAGCAGGACTGGATCTAGGCAAACATCAGCAGTCAGAGTCTTGTTATGTATCACTTAAACAGTTCAAACCATGGAAAATTTTCCAGTCACTGCTAACTTGACATTAGATCTGTTATATCTGGCTATAAAAATATTAGTCTGTCTAAATATTTTTCTGCCAGTTTGATACATGCATGCAAAAGCTTGGCCTTTTTTTTTTTAAACTTTATTTTAAAACAGTTTTCTGGTTTGGGAAAAAATATAATAAACATTTTTGTAGGTTTGTATTTTTATAAGGAAAACTGTACATAAAAGTGACTATCACATTTTCCAAGCAGAAATGCAAAAATAAATAAGGTGTCTTGAAATTAAATTTAAATTGATGAGTTAGTCATGGTTCAGTTCTTGCATGTTAGCTAGTTAATTCCAAGTAAAATATTAGAAATGTCATACCAAATTGAAGAAAAGGTATTGTTCTCAGCCTGAAGGGGAAAGTGGTATTAGAGGAACTAACTGATGATGGAAATTAAATACATTAGAGAAATTGTTCTAAAGGTTGCAGAATCTTTGTGTTAGGTGTATCTTCATTTTAATTCTCATCCATCTGAATTGCAAATATGTCGGAACTTGCATGGTACAACCCTTGAAAAATGCTGGTCTCTTTTGGAAAACCATAAAATGGCAGAGAGTTTTTAATTATAAGTAAGTAAAGGCACTGTTTCAAAGCATTTAATGTGACAAGTGGTGGCAGTGTTTGCAGTCAATTAAATGTTTTCAAGGGAGAGAGTGCAGTGCATAATGTTATGATTTGTAGTAAGTCTTTGCTTATATGCTCCAGAAGAGATTCCGTGCTGCTAACAAGGGAATTCTAGGCATATTTTTCCTAACATGCAGAATTTCCAGAATTGACATGAGTCAGGATTCGCACAGCTCGGAGTTGTCATTGAGTATAACTGTTCACTGAGGGTTGGTTTTTTTTGTTCAGTTGTTTTACTTGGTTTCAGGGGTTTTTTCTGTGTGTGTGTTTTTGCTTGTTTTTGTGAGGTCATGTTGTTGTTTGGTTTTTCTTTCTTTGTCATCCTTTAGGTGATAGCCTTTCCTGAAAATCCACCCAGAACATGTAGCCCCCCTGCTTTCCCTCACTAGCTGGGGAATGAATAGATCAGAACTCTGGGCAATTCTGTTTTTCCAGGAAAAGAAATAGAAGCTTTGATTGACTATTCAGAAACCATTTTGTTGACAGGATAGTGACATTGAATATGATGTTAAGGGTTTGGTAAGCCTCCAGTTTGCATGAATGATAATGCAAGATACTATTTTTATGTCAGAAAAGGCAAGCAAATTTCCATCTGGTATATGCAAGGCTATATATGTTTTAAATAGTTTGCTTTCAACTTTATGAGAACTAATGTATGTATTAGACTTTTTATATAGAAATTTGAGATTTTTATTAATCATTCAACTAGTTGCTTTCCTCTTTTTATATCTAATGACTTAACATGCTTGAGTTGAGAGTTTCATACAACAGTATTTCTATTGCAGACTCTGCATGGCTTTCACATGTCAGAGTGGTGTCATGGCTTGCTGTGATTTACACTTCCTGCTTTTTATTTTTTCTTAGAAGAGGGACATTCCCTTATGAAAATATACTGTATGGGAGAAAGGGTTCCTAATGCAAACAAAAGAGGAGACTCAGAAAAACTGTATTTTCGAAGCTGCTTCAGGATAAATGAAGTAGTGAGACTTGTCTGGATGTGAAGCTCTAAAATCATAATGAGGAAGAGAAGAATCTACTTTTTTTTAGGTTTGAAACAGAAGGTTGAAATATAAACTTACACTGTGTTGTAGTCTTTTGTGATGTTGCTTGACTATAGTCAAGTATATATCCTATATCCTATAGTATGTATATACTATATATATATATATATATATATATATATACACACTCCTTTCTTCAGCCTTATTGAACAAACAAATAAATTTTCAAGAGATCCTGTCACTGCAATATTCCAGAAAATTTACTTGATAGCCCTTGCTGAAGAAGCAAAGCAGTGAAAATTCTGATTAATTATGTCTGAATCACTGTCTTCTCTCCTAATTCATCACTGATTGAGCTGATAGCATGGTTGATGCAGTGTAAAAATCCAGGGGGGGCTTTTCAGTACCTGTTGTGAATGGCTTTTATGATTTTACTTAGCTTCACTTACTTTTATATTTCTCCTAAGTTTTCGCTATTGTTCATATATCTAGGCTTCAGCAGAAGACTTTTATTCCCCACTCCAATTTTTAGATTTTCATTGTTTCTAGAGAAAACATTTAAATACTGAAGTTATCTTGACTTTAAAAGGTCCTGCAGTTAATAGTGGTGGTAAGAATTACGTGAAAAGAGAAGTTTCTGGCCTCTTTGCTTTTGTCAGATTTTTGTGGACAATTTTCAAGACTGTTTAATAAAGGAATTTGCTCTGTTTTATAGTTGTTGAACATTAAGTGTAGCAAAGCAAATGAATAGTTCTAAAGGGGAAGGGATAACAAAGTGATACTCCTTTTCTTGAAAAATAGACATGATCTCTAAGTTCTTAAATACTGCCAGTGAATGGTGCAAGTTGCCATTCAGAAGTATAAGTGCCAAAATATGAGGGATGGAAGAGTGCACAGTTTACTTTTCAAACAAAGGAAGACAGTGGCAGGGGGAGGGCTTAATATAAGTACTTCTGATTTGTAGGGGGGAGTGCTGCAGTCATGCCTTGGTTAAAGTTTCAGAATGGGAATGATAGGATCTTGAAATACCTGTGGGGTTTTTTGAGATGTGGGGTGGCGTGGTGATTGTGGTGTCTGTAATGTATTTGGTGAAATACAGCAGCTTAGCATTTGAATTTAAGAATGTGGGTTTGAAATGTTGTTCAGTGAGTGTACACTGGATGGTTAATAGTTTGGGTAAAAGTATTAGGGAGACTAGGTAGGTCTCACTAGCTATATAGTAAATATTCAGCATTGCCCTGAATGGTGTTTAGCATCTAGCAAGAGTCATGAAACAGGCTAGTGATTCTCACATACATTACACTGTAATTAATCTGAAATTGTTTGGGATGCAGATACCACACCACCATAAAACTGCTGAGTTAGTGACTGCTAAGTTACTGCTTTATGGACAGCTGACATGTAGTATAGTATAGTTCATCCCACTTTACACATCAAATGAGAACCATATTTAGTTGTATGGGGTAGGTTTCTTTCTAACTCCATTAAAAAAATCCTCAAAACTTGGATGGATCAAATATGTCATATTGCGCCATAAATTTGCAACATTTAGAATTACAGCCGATCTTTCAGTTACTTATCTGTTTTATTCCTGCGGGGGATTTGTTTTGTTTTGGTTTCCTTTTCATTGCCTTATATAATGCTTTCCATTTCTCTAGTTTCCTGTAAGCCTGTGACTCCTTTTCATAGAAAATCATATGTTAACACCTGCAGCTCTGGTATGTTTTGTAGAGCTTTGGTTTGAGAAGGTGTCAGATGATTGGCCTACAGATTTCAGCAGTTTAATCTTCACGAATATGCAATAGAACTCTAGTTCTTAGCCCTCTTACTAGACCCCTATAGAAGCAAAGCCTTTTTTGTATCAAATTTAATAAGCTAGTTGTTGTTTAAGACTGAACTATGTTTTATTCCAAAACGGGGTTATGTAGTTTTTGTATGTGGAATTGGTTGGTTGTTTCTTTCGATTGTCTTACATGCTGTTTAGATGTGATGAAAGAAATGTGGGGTCTGCCCCTTTCAGTAATTACCTAGATGTTGTTCAGAACAGTAGGAAATAAAGGATTTCCTTTTTCTCCTGGTTTCTTTTGAGAACTTCAATTACTTCATTCTAAGTCTTTGAGCAAGGGTGTTGATATTTTACCTTTTCCCAGAATTCTTTTGTCTCATAACATCATTTTAAGTTACTTTTCTTGTCTTTACCTGTTTGTTTTTCCATTTTTTTGTTGCCTTCTTACCCCAAAGTCTATTCCTTTAATGTAAAGTTTTTTTTAGATATGACCTGCTTTGACATTGTAATTTTTCATCCTACTCTCTGGCCTTTCAACCTGTGTCTCTTTCTGTCTTCAGAATATTTTTGTCGATACCTGCAGTTCATTCTTTTGTGCTGTCAATTTTCAGGCAGTTACCCTGTTTTCCAAATCTAACACTGGCATCACAGGGACACATAACACTGCAGCACAGTACAATGCTGAGTCGTAGGCTGTGTTTTAGTTTTGAGTGTCAAAGTCAAATTTAAATTGTGGTGCTGCTGAAGAGTTGATGCTCAACTGATAGTTGTAGTTTCTGGTTAAGTAGGATTGCTTGTCAGTTACCATTAGCATAATTCAAAGTTGTTGAGGGAAAATAATATTTTCCAGTTCTGTTTTATTTTAACAGTATATGTTTGGCTATAAACTGAGTTACTAAAATGGAAATGGCCAGTGGTTGTCCTAATCACTATAATTTTGTGTTGCTTTACTTCTAATTTTTAATCAGTCTAAAGTCTTAAAATCAATGCTTAGTTGTAAAATCAATGCTCAAATCAAATTATCTGATTTTGGAAAGGCAGGAAAAACAAATCTACTGTTGTAAGCTGTTTCTAAACTGAGAAGCTAAGAAGACATTTTATTAAATGCCATACAGAGAAAATCTTGTAATCTAACAGTGGGGTCATAGGACAACAGGTGGACAGAGTCTTCAGTCAGAGACCATAAAGGAGAAATGAAAAATTTAACCAGCAAAGCAGCCTGCAGGTTATGGGCTCATGGTTGCAATGTTGTTGGCAATATTGATACCTGTAGCTGATAGTAGTAGAGCACTGTGGCAATCTGCTGCTTTTAAGCCATTTTTAAAAATATTTTATTTTTTTAAAAAATATTTTGTGAAAACTGTTTCCTACTGATGTTTGCTTCTCTGCTCCTCGTGTAGGTATCATGCCAGTGTATCATAACATGTTTGCACTCATGAGTGAAACAGACAGAATGTGGTATCCCCCAAATCACATCTTCCATGTAGATGAAACAACCAGACTCATCCTAATTTACCGGATAAGGTAATCTAAATAAAATATTGTACACTTTTCATGATAAAACAAGACTGTGTGAGAGAACACAACCAATATGATCTTTAGTTGAACTGTAGTTTCGCTTGGAAGTTATGGACAGATTGCTGGCATTTTCTGGAAAACAGGGAGCTAAAAGAATCAAAAATATTGGAGTGATTTGAATTATGTACTTTATTAATTTTCTCTATCCACTATGTTTACCAGTGTCACATTGAAGAAACAAACAATAAAAATATACTAGAAGTAAAAACCTTTCTTCGTAATAATACATCTCATCTCCTCTGTGCTTGCCTGTTTGAAATAAGTAGCAGTTTCTGAAATGCAGAGTAATTGTCCTGCGTAGTCAGACATGTTTCTGCAATACAACCATTTTTCCCTAACTTTATAATTGAATGTGGACAACTAAAACTGTAGTCAGTTTTCGTTTTGTAAATTGCTTAATTTATTTACATTATATAATTTGGCCTGAGTGTTTTTTGGGAGCTGTTTCAAAAGAAGCTAGAAGGCACTAATAAAATTCTCTGTATTCTGATTAGTGAGAATAACTTAGCAAAGTTCTCATTCCTATCAGTACAGTTTATCATCTTGCTCGAGTACTGTAGTACTTTAAAACACCAAGAACTGGATCTGAATTCTTCATTGAGTAACTGGGATTTCATAGTGGTCCTCCAGATCAGCGGCACTAGTTACATGTGTATGAGAGCAGTAAGGTCTGATGCTGGTAACCAAAATGTCTGTTTATTAACATTTGCTTGAATTTATTTCCTACCAGGTTTTATTTTCCCCACTGGTATTGCAGTGGCAGCAACAGGGCATACCGTTACGGCGTTCTTCGTGGTGCAGAAAGCCCTGTCCTTGATGATCTTGTCATGTCTTACCTATTTGCACAGGTATGATTTGCTCGCTCATTGCTAAATGCAGATTGGTGAGGGTTATTAGCATTTGTTCCCTTTCCATCTTCTCCTAGTAACTCTGTAGGCTCTTGAAAGCTTGAAGCCCTCTCAAGCTGGAAATTAAATTCCATCTCCTATTGTGTATTTGGAGAGATGAAGTTCAAAACAGTGCTTACAAGCATGATAGCAGCTGGTATTCCTTTTGAATAAGTACATCTCTTTGTGGATGAAGTAGGTCGTTGAGTCTTTAAAAACCAAGCCAATAAAACCCCCTAAACAAACCAAATATAAACAATCAAGCAGCACAACAGCTCCCCCCAGCAACTGCACCCCAAACCTCTATTCTTGTTAAGAAGCAGTGCACCAGGTTTCATTTGCTGTCTTGCATTCTTTCTTAGTGGCGAGCTGATTTTTTGGATGGATGGGTACAGATGCCTGTTACTCACGAAACACAAGAAGAATGCCTTGGAATGGCTGTTCTAGATATGATGAGAGTGGCCAAAGAAAAGGACCAAACCCCAATGGCTGTTTACAATTCAGTCAGGTGATTCTGTAATTTGTTTCAGATCTATCTCATGCCTAAAGATTGTATTTTTGCACGTTAGTGTCTAGGAGAAAGTATTCATCTGTTGGCAGTTGATGTGTTGGTGTAAAATTGTTACATAATTTTACTTATTATGTAAAATAGAGATGAATAGAAAATTTGTGTCATGATGACCATTCATGATTTGGAGACATGGATTTGACTCTCTTGATGAAAGGTAAGGCAGCAGCTTCTTATGTGAGAAAATATGTAAGCAATAATTTTAGGTGAGACACCTTCTGGATGTCATCAGATCCAAGCCCCTGTTCCTGTCAGGGTCAAATTCAAAGTTAGATGAAGTGACTCACGGCCTCATCCAGTCAAGTTCTGAAATTGTCTAGATACGGAGATTTCCCTGGTAACTCTGTGCACCTTTGTCCTCTGCATGACCATGGTCATTGTGAAAGATTTCTTCTGTACCTAATCAGTCTCCTCTCTGGTACTGATAATCCTCTCTTGTCCTTTCACATTATTAGATGACAATTAATAGAACACCATACTTGAGCCTACTTTTCTCCAGGCTGACCAAATCAAGATCCCATATGTCTCTTCTCTCATGTCATGTGCTCCAGGCTCTTAAACCATCTCGGGCAGATCTCTGCTAAACATTCTTGAGTTTATCAACTCACTTGGGTGTGTCAATCCTGTCAGTTTCTACTCCAGCTGAGTTAATTCTGTCCCTGACATAGGAACTTCAGTGACAACCAACCACAGTTTTGTATTCTACCACCTGTATTTTCAGCCGGGAAATCTGTCCTTTATCCATGTAGTTGCTATGCAGTATCCTCTTTACAATTTCTACACCAAACAAACCAATTTTGTAACTTCTGCTGCCTTACCTTAGAACTTCACTAATGAAAGAACAGACATTTTTGAATTTATGGAGAATGCATTATGTAGTTTATGTTGCAATTGAAAGAGTGGAAAAAAATGGAAAATGGAAGAATACAGGGGGCTCTGTTTGAAAGAACATACTACAGATCTAAGAAAGGATCTTTGTTATCCTACAGTTGTAAAAATAACAGTACATTTAGAGGAAAAGGTGTTTTCAATGTTGACTTGTTTAGCACAGAACTAATTATCTTTGCTGGATTTAATGGATAAAATTGGTAGCTTTTTTTGTCTGGTTATGTATTCACAGCTACAAAATGTTTTTACCTAAGTGTGTGCGAGCAAAAATCCAAGACTACCACATTTTGACACGAAAAAGGATAAGGTACAGGTTCCGCAAATTTATACAACAGTTTGGCCAATGCAAAGCTACTGCCAGAAACTTGAAACTTAAGTATCTCATAAATCTGGAAACCCTTCAGCCTGCCTTCTATTCAGAGGTTTTTGAAGTAAAAGAACCTGGTGGAGGTCCTTCTGGAGAGGAAAGTTTTGCAACCGTTGTAATAACTGGAAATGGTGGAATTCAGTGTTCAAGGGGAAAACTTAAAGACTGTGAGACACTTGGAGAGCAGGTAATTTTAAAAAATTATTTTAATCACTTCTAATGGAACAGAGTAGTAAGCAAATTTGGTAGGCAAATTTTACTTCACAATGACATATAAAAAATGTAAAAATGTAATGACCATGCCCTGAGGTGTAGATAAAATGCAGAAATTCCCCAAATCTTCTTTGAAAGCAGGGATCTAAGGACTCCAAACAAGAGGCAGATTCTCCTATACCTCTTTCCTGCTGTGGTTAGACAACTACCAGTGTCTCAGTTAGCAAATTTAAAATTACATCTGTGTGATTGTGGAGTCCATGTAGTCTTTCTTCAGGAATTAGGTGCTTAGTGGTTCCTGTAAGTGCTAATAATCATGTACTGCTGCATTTTTATTGGTATTATTTTGTATGTGTGTGAGATTTCCCATCATGACTGTTCATTAGGTTGAGTTTACCAAAACCTGATAAAACTCAAAGCAGTGTACATTGAGAGTGTGGGAGGTATCCTAAGGCAAAAGTAAAGGCAAACTGGAGTATGTGTGTTTTTTTCAAAATAATCACATTGATTTGGTAATTTTGATTCGTAATACGTAGCAGAAAAGATCAAAGTACAAAAAAGTTGTATTTCTACCGTGTGCTGTAATAATTTGTAAAAAAACGCTATATGCTAGTGGGTTTTTTCAATACTTAGCAAAAAGTAAATTTGATTACATGCCCATATATTTTGAGGTGTGCAGTTCTTAGAATATTTGTAGATTGACAATTACTTCATTCATAGTTGTTATGTATCAGCCCTCTGCCTTCCCTAATTTTCCTGTAAATGCAAGTTGCTCTGGTAGGATCTGTCATAAATGTCAGATTCTGCAGTTTCCAGTTTTAGGTGTGCAGAATGTATGCATACTATGCTGTTTGGGTTTGGCAGCCAAGCCTTTAGTAAGCATAGTGTTTGAATAAATCATGTTTTTTTATAAAGATTGCCAAATTATTTTTTCCTTATTAAAAATATTGTAATTCTATTATTGACAGACACGGCATATATTTTCACTGGTAAAGAAACTATTTATAAGGTTGGTTTTGAAAACCGGATTAATTAATATGGCTGCTTCTAAACATGATTGTAACTCGTTTCAGTAAACTTTACTATGAATTGTCATTTAGATACTGAACTAAAAAATATTTTTTATTTATTTGTATGTAATGACATATGTGGAGTGGATTGTGAAGAAATTTGTTTTGCAAGTTTACATTTTCACTAACTAGATGAACAAGTAGATAGGACTGAGAGGACAGCCTTACACTTTTTCTTCATTCCAACTACAGATTTGCAGCTTGTATCACTCTGAATGAAGTTATGACATTTTGTATAATTGACAGGCTTTCTAAAACTGTTTAATCAGGATGCCAGTAATAAGCTCACAAAAAAAAAAACCCAAACCCTTCTCAAAAAAGTAATCAAAATGATCCACTGTTCATAAAATACTACAGAGTGAAGAAATATCTGCAGTTATAAAAATCCAAGCCCATATGTAGATATTTCTGTTCATGGTTCCCGGATCTATGTCTGTTCTTCAATTTATGTTCCTAGTGATGATTCAATAAAGAAAAAAAAGAAAAAAATCCTGTATTTCCTTGTAATGGCATGTTTAAGGTTTTATAATCCTCTTTGTTGTTGGCTTACAAGTTCGGAATTGTAGAAGTTCCAATGCTGCAATTAGGTGAGGCTTTTTAATTGCCATTTATGTTATTACTGAAATTATATGATATTTGTTGCAGGATTTACAAACATACTGTGATTTTCCTGATATCATTGATGTCAGCATTAAACAAGCAAGCCAAGAAGGCTCCAGTGAGAGAAGAATTGTCACCATTCACAAACAAGACAGCAAGAATCTGGTCTGTTTATTTTGGTTGCTGTTCTTTCTAATAGATACTGCTTTGAACAGGCTGTATGACTGTTGTATGCATAGTATTGTATAATCCATGACCACATTAATTAAGCATGAGATAAAACTAAACATCTATCAGCAGTGTAAGGGGTGTTATCAGAACACTAAAAGTCTTCTGCATTCAAAGCTATTTGCTTGAAATGAAATAGAAGTAGATATTTATATCTGAGGAAAATTTCTGGTACACAGATAGGTTCTTTTGTTTATTAGTCTTAAACCTGAGTCCATGGTTTCAGTTCTCAAGTGTGCTGTTTCCATGGTGTCCTGATAAGCTGTCTGCTACAGACCAACACATTGAAAAAGACTTCAAAATGTTCTGAAAAATGATGATACAAAATAAGTATCAGGACAAAATTAATGTTACTGCTTTTACTGTGTACCATTCTTTGAAGATGATCTTAAGAAAGTATTTTGTACCCAAACGTAAAAAGTTTTTTACTTGAGCTACAACCTTGCACTTGGGTCAGGCTTTCTAGCAGGTATTGCTATCACAGAGTTGTGGGGTGGACTGACCCTGGCTGGGCACCAGATGCCGACCAAGTCTTCTCTAATCACAAACCCTCTGCAGCTTGAACAGAGGAGAGAAAATGTAATGAAAGGCTTGTGGGTCAAGATAAGGATAAATTAAGATGTATTAACCGTCATGGACAAAACAGAATTGACTCAGGGAAATTAACCAAGTTTGTTTCAGAGTAGGGTAATGAGAATAAAAAAATCCTAAAAACATTTTCCCAGCACGCCTCTCTTCTTCATGGGCCAACTTTATTCCTTATTCTCTACTTCCTTCCTTCCCCTCAGCACTGTAGAGGATTGATAATGGGAAGTGTGGTCAGTTCATTGCATGTTGTCCTTGCCTCTCAGTCTTCCCCATCTCATCCTCTGCTCCAGCAAGGGATCCCTCCAATGGTGGACAGTCCCCCATGAACTTCTCCAATGCAAATTGTTTCTACAGGGTGCAGTTCTTCATGAGCTGCTTCAGTGTTGGTCCCTTCCATGAAGTGCAGTTCTCAAGGAACAGGCTGCTCCACATCTCCATAGTGGCTCATGGGGCCACAAGTCCTGCCAGCACCTATGTTTCCATGCTTCCCATGGGGTCACAACCTGCTTGAGGCACGTCCTCCTTCTGTGACATGAGGTTCTTCACGGGCTGCAGGGGGATCTCTGCTGCACCATGAATTTCCATGGGCCGCAGAGGTACAGCTGCCTCACCATGGGCTGCAGTTGTTTCCAGATCCTGGTCCTCTTAAAAAGGAGTTTGGAAACTCTAAATTCTTGACACTTCCTCAAAAACACCAGCTCTTTTTATTGTTCTCTAGCAGCAAAGAACTTGCCAAATAATTGTGTTCAGTGAAGTATGTCTCTGGTGTCACAGGCAAACACATACTAAAGCCTGTTCCGTTGGGTTACACTGCTGAATGAAATCTAGGGTGACTCAGAAAATGCTTCTCTGTTTTTTTTTTATTTGCAGCAGTTAATGTGCTGTTGCAGATTAATGTAATTTTTCCCTGCTTTTATCTGTTAATCATAACGTACATAAGACCTTTTTCACACCCATTTTCCTTTAACCACCTGATTTTTCTCTCTGTTCTATCCGGTGTACCTGATTTCATAGTAGTAAAAGGTCATCTTCTGTCTATGATCCAGCTGAGGGTGCCAGTTTTTCCTGACTCGTAGTTAAGTTTTCAGGCAGGTACTTTACTGGAGATTTTTCTTTTCTGCTTGAAGGCAGAAGTATAAATCTTTGATAAGTGAAGGCTTTCCTTTAGGGAAAAGAACCAGACTGTATTGGCAGTGCAGTAGGTGTCTGCATGCTGTCTTGTATCTATCTACTTGTTTTTCCCTTTCAAATGCTCTTTCATATTGGCATTCCGCTGCTGTTTCATCTATGTAGATTAAGGGTTGTTTGGGTTTTTTTTTGTGGCAGATTTCATAGAATTGTGGAATGGTTTGAGTTGGGAGGGCCTTTAAAGGTCATTGGGTTCCAGCACCTCTGCCATGGGCTGGGACACAGATCATTAGAGCAGATTGCTCAAAAGCCTGTTTCAGGGATAAGGCATCCACAACTTCTCTGTTTTCTTTGGTTTGGATTTGATCTTGAACATTGAAGGTTGCTATCAAGTTTTGAATGATAACAAGAAGGTAGAATATACAAACATGAGTTAAAAACTGCTTTTATTCATGTCTTTAATGTGTGCACATATGTGTATCTTTTATAGCATTAGCATATTCAGGAATTTTTTGTTGCCTATTAAAAATTGAAATTCTCTCTCCCTCCCTGCCCCACATTGTTCTCTGGCAATTGAACAGGAGGCTGAATTTCAGTCACTAAGAGAAGCCCTCTCCTTTGTATCATTAATTGATGGATATTACAGATTAACAGCAGATGCCCATCATTATCTCTGTAAAGAAGTAGCGCCACCATCAGTCCTTGAAAATATCCAAAGCAACTGTCATGGGCCAATTTTGTAAGTATTTTTTTTTAGTAATATGACAATTGAATTTTTTTTTTGGAATATGAGCTTTAGTTGTTTGTGTACTGTGGTAGGCATCTTAAAATGTTTTTTTACTGCATTTATGTAACATAAAATGCTTTATACTTTTCCTCTTATTTTTCACTTTGTAAAATACAGTGCCTTTGTGACATGTTATAAAAATTAAGTGGAAAGATCATTCCTGGATATGGATAGAAATAGTGAGTTAGCAAGGCTTGTTTAAAAGAAAATTAATTCTTATAATAATGAATGTTGCTTTGTTTCAACTCTTTTTTCTTGTTAGCCATTTTCCTGGTTAAACCCACCTTTTTCACCCACACAAATGTTTTGCTAATTTAAGCTTATTTGTTAGGTAATTTTATTACAGCTTCTTTCATAATGCATGTTGAAAATCATCTTGTAAGCTGTGGGGAGTATTACTTTTTAGCCCTTAACATTTCTTATTGGATAAATAATTGTGATGGTTTAGTATCAAAAAATTTTAATATGCTGCTCTCTACATAAGCAATCACCCTATATATTGGAAAATAAAGGACAGAGATTATCTTAAGCTGTATAAAATTGAAAGTTTTAATTATTGTTCTATTAGATATTTGTAATATTGCTCATTACTCAACAGCTTATAACTCTGTGTTTTGCAATTATGCAATATTAAACATTTTATTTTTACTGCAGCATGGACTTTGCTATCAATAAACTGAAGAAAGCGGGTAATCAGACTGGTTTCTACGTCCTTCGCTGCAGTCCTAAAGATTTTAAAAAATACTTCCTTACCTTTGCTATAGAGGTTTGTATTCTATCTTCATGCCTATTTCATTTTTGTTGTGGTCTGACATTGAGCCTGAGATGTTCAGTAAATGATTCTGAATTTCCCCTCCAGAATGTTTGTCTAGTATGTATATTCTATAGCTACTTTTGTCAGATGGGCCAATTTTCAGGGTCTTGTGAAAAATGTCAGAGTTGATACAGAATTGCTAATGCACATGCCATATGCCTTGGAGACCAAGGCAAGTGAGCTTAAGAGTTCTGGAGACAAAGGCATGGATCTTGGGACTGTGATGCTGGGATAAATATTTGGGAGATGGAGCAATCTGCCAGATTTTCTGTTTTTTTAATGTTTGGGGGTTTTTACTTGAGTTTTTTCTCTGGGTTTTCCACATACCTCCTCCCCCATCACAAGTGGGGCTTTGACAATCTGAGAGTGCCTCCTTCACGGGTTCTTCTGGGTTTGGGTCTTGTCCTCATCCCCAGAACTGGGCCAGCCATATTATTTGGCAGCTGTTACATCAACACAAATCTCCTGGGTATATCTGTTGTTAGCTAGAGAGAAAGCTACCCTGGAAATGCATATGGTTCTCAGAGAACTAGATGTACGTCTTCTCTCTGACATTGCAGCTAGTGATAATATAATGCTTTATTATTGCTGTTAAATAATTTCTTAATGTTGTTTCAATAATGAATTTCTCTTTAATTACATTAGCAGAGCTATCTTTGTGTTTTTAGCTGGGGAAGGTAATACAAGAATTTTCCTGCTGGTGTACAACGAGCTAGCAAGTTTGCTAATACTGTCAGACATAGGTACATCTCTGAAAATGACTAAATAATGCTGATGTGTGAATGGAGAAATGTTATGTCCAGTCAATGAAGTATGTTTGGTAGGGAATTTTGTAGACGAAATCGGTTCATGAACAACCTTAGAGAGGCAAAGTTGAGAGTCAGGCTTGTGAGAGAAGACTACCATTGCCTTTAAGTGACTTTACTGCAACTTCTTCTTTTTTTTTCCTGAGACTTGTGTAAGTTATTGGAGGACTTTTTATATTCAGAATTGGTTGGAACATTTGCTACAGGACTGAGATACAGGACCACAAAAGCACTGTTAAGAATTCATCTTGTTTAAAAACGTTTAATGGTATCTTTTCAGGAGCCTTTGTGAAAATAATTCAGTGCATATTAAAAATACAGAAATAAAAATATTAGAAAGTAATTTCGTAGAACTGTGCTGGAGATGACACAAAAGCAGAACTACAGCTGATATCTCCAAATGCCTGCCAAACAAACATGGAGTGTAAGCATTAGGGCTATTGCTTCCAACGAAATTTTGTTTTGATGTAACCCCTTGTCAGGATGAATAAGCTTTCCTTAATAGCTCTGAAGGATTTTTCCTGGGATCCATTATCTGTTTTCTCAGCTCCATCTTTTCAGATTTCATTAACCTTTGTTTTTCTCCAGCATCAACATGCTAGTTCCAGTGATGGGAGTAGAGTCATATTTTCTCAGAATCAATATTACATAGTGAGAACAGAATAACAAATTATGATCATATTTTCCTGAAGCATCCTTTCTTTAATTAGTGGAGCGCTATACATTTAGATTAGCTTTCAAATATTAAATATTAATCAATTTCCTTTTTAATGGAAAAATTTTCTGCAGCGTGACAATACTACAGATTATAAGCACTGCTTAATTACAAAGAATGAGAATGGAGAATATAATCTTAGTGGAACCAAGAGAAGTTTTAGTAATCTTAAGGATCTCTTGACCTGTTACCAGACAGAAACTGTCCGTTCAGACAGCATAATTTTCCAGTTCATCAAATGCTGTCCTCCAAAACCAAAAGGTAAGAAAGAGATTATTTCTAAGCAGAAAGTTTTCTATTTTCTAGATTAAAGACTTAAAGTGTTTGGACAATGCTCTCAGGCACGTATTGTGACTCTTGGGGATGGTCCTATGCAGGGCCAGGAGCTGGACTTGGTAATCCTTGTGGGTCCCCTCCAACTCAAAATATTTTGTGATTCTGTGATACGTTTGTCTGGGGTTTTTTAAATTTCACTGACCTATTTATTCATCTTCTTAGTAATAATTTCCAGTCAGAGTGTCTGCAAAATTTTGGTGTAGGATAGTCTTCCAAAAGTAATTATGGTAACCAGTTTCATGACTAGAAGCAAAACTGGTTTCTTAATTGCAGTGGATTCTGTGCAGCAGCATTTCTTCTTACATCAAGTGTTTTCATGTCTTGAGAAGGAAAGAGCTACTAAATTAATTATTTATCACTAAGAATGCTTCCATAGGCAATGGAACCAACAATGTCACTGAATTTCTGTCATTGTTGATCTTAGCTGAGCTATGTCAAGTCTGCGAGTGTGGTTTCAGCACCTTTTTAACACTGAAAAAATACACATGGAATAGGGCTTCTGCCTGAGGAGGGGATTTTTCTTGTATTTGCATTTTATTTTTTTGCCTACCTTTGATATTCATATCTTTCTCATTTATGAAATCTTTAAATATCTGCCCTTCTAAGTAGTACTACATACAGTTAATATTAGTCTTTGTCTCTATCAAAGTTCTTATTTAAAGACAAACTTGCCAGAACAGATATGATATAACTTGCCAGAACAGAACTGCATGATATAATTTTACTTCTCTCAAATTTGGTTGAAAATAGCCAATGGATTCAAAACCTTAAAGTGATTTAACAAGTAAGTATGTATGCACATTATAGAGAATAAATTTTTAACATTATTCCATTAAAATCAAAAGTTTATATGCATCAGAATGATAAATTATTGAATAAATATAATTATGGATGTGAGCAGATACCCACATAGACATACTTTTCAGATCTAGTTTTAGTATCAGACTTGCTCTTTTATAATACAAATACTTTTTCTGTTTTATAATACAAATACTTTGTATTATAAAACAAGGTGATTTACATCCCCTTTTCCATCCCCAGTTGTTGTTACAAAAAGTGCAGCAGTTAAAATGTGAAAGGAGGTAGGAATATTTTCAGAATGTTTATCAAAAGTAGGAGTACTTAAGAAACATATAACTCATGAGTAAACTTAGATGATTTAGCTGATTAGAAAATATCAGACTTTGATTTCAGTTAAATGCTGTGTGGCTTTTTAAATACACTGACCTCAATGTGATATCTTGTTTGTGTTGAATCAGGAGCCCCTCATTAGCAATCCTTCTGAAACAGTATTGGTTTAGTTTTATATTTTACAAATTTACTTTGGTTTTCCTTTCCCTTTTTCTTCTCCCAGATAAATCAAATCTCCTAGTCTTCAGAAGCAATAGTGTTTCTGATGTACCTTCATCACCTATGCTACAGAGACACAATAATGTCAATCAGATGGTTTTTCACAAAATCCGTAATGAGGACTTGATATTCGTAAGTCAGTTTGTTGCTTTTTCTACTGCAGATGTTGGGTCTAATATGCACCAAGTTTTAAAATCCTCAGCGTGTGTTTAAAAGAATCTTATCTGAGCTAGGAGATTTTGCTGTAATCTTTCCTTAGATTGTGGAAAAGAATTTATGTTATTTTTCAGTAATGAAAATAACTATTTTTTTTATAATTATGAAGCGTTGTTTTGACTGCAATAACAGTTATTTGGTTCTAGAGATGTTTAGATACATATTTAATGGAATTGCTTCCTCTCTGGTTCTTGCAGCAAGTTATTTTCTGAGATCCTTGAGTAATCAATAAAAAACAAACAAAAATATAAGATGTTTTTGATATAGTTGCTTCCTTTCCTTCTCAGCTGGTCTCTACAGCCAGCCAGCACACCTCTAAAGACTTGCATATGTGTATGCAGGGGCAGGGTTTCCAAAGACGCCTTTTAAAACAGGCAGATATTTTTGATTTTTTTTTTTCTGTCTATATTCTTCCTTCTTTTTAGGAGGAGAGTCTTGGACAGGGCACGTTTACGAAGATTTTCAAAGGTGTAAGGAAAGAAGTGGGAGACTATGGCCAGCTCCATCAAACTGAAGTTCTTTTAAAGGTGCTGGATAAAGTGCACAGAAACTACTCTGAGGTTGGTGTGATTGTTGACTGCTGTATAACATTTGTCCATGCTATGCTGAGCATTACTCTTCTTTTCGTGAGCATTACCCATTTAGTTCATAAATGGGTATTTGTGTGGTAGAGGGTTGCATGTTGAACCAAGCTCATGCTTAGGCTTGTGACACTGGAAGTATGAATTTGAGACTGGCTTTGGGAAGTACACCTATGTACTTTATTTCCCCTGTTCCCGCCACCTGTGAGAGAATTCAGAACTGCCCACTGGGATCTGGAGAGCAGGTCATTTATACAATTAAAGTACCAAAGGAGAGGTGGCATGGTCATGGATTGTCTTAACCAGTAAATTCATTATTTACAAACGAGGGACCATTTATGGAAAAACACTTCCTCTGGGTAGACTGTCTTCAGATTTTCCAATAAAATCAACTAATCAGAAGATTTATGTATGAGGAAAACTTGCCATACATGGATTCACCATAATCACTGAGTCTTTTGACACTTTTTGAGTGACGCTTTTAGCAGACCTGAAATGCTTTTGTGCAAAAACTAATCAACTGGTAGTGTAATCAAGCCCAAGACTCTGTATGTGAGAACTGAATTTTAAAGACTTTCACAAGATGTAATAGTGTTTATTATAGCAATATCACTTTACAATACTTCTTTTGGTAACATAGGTTAAAAATTTATATTGTAAAGTATGAATCAGTTACTAAAAGTTCAGAGCACAGAAACAAAAATATAGCCACCTGAAGAAAATGTTCTGATTTTCACTTCACTTTGTTGGGTGAATAATCAGTACACAAGCAAGTGTAGGCGGAGGTGCCACTGAACAGAATAAAAAAACAAAGAAAGCAATAAAAGCATTGAAACTTTCCTGACAAAGTTGGAAAAGGTCTTGCAATAGTGGATGAATTGCGTAATCATTTTTGTCTTTTAACTTAATAATGTGCTACAAAGAAATAAATTGGAAACTGAACAGTGCATTATGGCAGAATAAATTAGAAAGTGAATAGTGTATGATGAATTTACCTTCAATTTACCTAGGTAATTGACACTGAAAAAAAATTATTATTTTAAAAAATGTTGAGATACGCTTGCTGACAGAGAAAAAGAGGTAGTTAACCTATCTGGAATGTGTAATACCAGTTATTTAGAAAAAGAAAATGAGAAAAAAACCTCCACAACAAAAAAAAAACTGAAGCAAAAACCAACCAAACAAGAAACAGTTGCCAAACACAAACCAACAACAAACAATATAAAATATGTTACATAGGGTCTTTGTAAAGAGATAGTTGAAATATTTTTTAGAAATGGTTTTAGTAAATTTATTAGGACTTTGGGGCTTTGTTTTTACTGATATATTTTCTTTGTTGATCTCTCCCTCTCGTTACAAAAAGTCCTTTTTTGAAGCAGCAAGTATGATGAGCCAGCTTTCTTACAAACATTTGGTGTTAAATTATGGCGTCTGTGTTTGTGGAGAAGAGAGTAAGTAGAAATTAATTCTTTTTTTTACCAATTTTTATGCGTCTCTATATAGAGAGTTTGACATTGGTTTTTGGGAAAACAGGGAAAAAACAAAACAAAAGCTCAACACCAGCTGAACAGCTAATACATGTTCATGCTGCAGCAGTATTAGCCTTGGTATCTGAGAGCTAGTTAATAGTAAAAACAAAGAAAAAGGAAAAATTGTTTAAAGTACAGACAGTGTGAATAGTAACATCGGTAATGTCTGTTCTATCTGAGATCAGTTTTGCCATGCCTCTGGAATGAGCTTTTGAAGTGCCAGAAAAATTGCAGCCTTACATTGTATCAGCTGTGGTTAACTAGAAAGGGAGGTGCTGTGCTACCCAGAAAAATTTTCATTTACTGTGATTAGAAACAGACATTGCCACCCTTTTCCACACATGCTGACTTCATGAGCACAAATTTAACTGTGGGAAGTTTGGTTTAGAGATCCCATTCTGAAAACATGAGGTCCTGGTAATTCAACAAACACACTACAAAATTTTAGCAGCAGTAAAATGTTTGCATTATCTGTAAAAGTTGAATGTCTTTCCAGTTTAGCATACAGCTGTGACTGTGACTGTGTAATAATAAGAGGTTTTTAATATCTCCTGAAATACATTTGTGCCATCTTGAAATGATACCTTAATTTTGGATGGTTGTCTAATATGTCTTCAAATATGACTGCTGGACCTCACTTCGACAGTTTTTCTTCTTCATTCATTATTTGGGCTGAAATGCCAGTTTGCCTGAAACCTTTTTTTTTTTTTTTTTGTGATTAGAAATTTGTATGAAAGGGAGCATTTTATAATTGTATGAGCATATTATGTAGGTGGTTGTCTTCATTAGGGAGAGAGAATTTCCAAAAGAGATGGTGGATTCAGTAATCAGAATTTACCTCTGTAATCAAAAATTACCTCTCACAGAAGGCTGAAAAAGGCATAGCATTATGTTTGGCCAAGAACTTGTGCCAAAACAACCACATGGGGGGTTTTGTACTTTATTAATTTTACCACACACAGAGATAATATATAAAATTTCAGGTAGATCAAGTTTATAGTTGAAAAGAAATTGTTGCAAGAGGTATGTGGGTATGTATTTCACCTTTAGATCATAGCTGTCCTCTAGAAATGATTCTCCTTCTGAAGGCAAGAGATTTACTACAGTTTAAGGCGAGGCAGTAATTAAGAAATAGGAAGAGCAGCTGTTATTGATTCTGTGGTTTGCACACTTGATGTACAAATTCAATAAAAATTGTTTCACATAATTGCAAAAAAAGAGTATTTTCTGTCTCTAAAATTAATTTGTTAAAAAATCTGGGGTTTTTGTTACAGCCAGATATAATACTAGTAGCTTCAGTGTGAGCATCTTGCAGCTGAGGGCAAGGATTCAGTCATGTGATTTGAAATGGCTGGAAAGTGATGAGGACATCAGTTCTTGTTTCTGGAGTTATTTGCTGGATGGCTGCATGGAGGCATATGTCATACACATATAAGCAATTTTAGGGCAAATACTTGTCTGTTTTCAAGCAAGGCATCTTTTGTCAATAAAGCATTGCATTTTCCAGTAAGAATATAGATAGTAAACAACCATGAAGTGAATTACTTGAATGTTATTCAGCTACCACATTGAAAGTTCTGTACATCAGCAGTTACATTATTGTGCCTTTCAGGTAAGGGTGGAAAGATGCTAATTGGATTTTACCTAATCTGTAAAAGATTAAATCTAAATAATTAACCCTAAAATACTAAATCTGGTAACTATATATTTGAGAAGAAATTAGGTGAACTTCCACTCTCCAAAGAAGTATAAAGAACATAGAGTATTTGTGGCAGTACTGAGATATCACAGAAGTTGGAATTTATAGTTAGATCACCAACAAAATATCAAAAGAAGAGTAGTACTAAAGTCAGTAGTCTGTCCTGAAATTTTATTATTTGTGGTTGGTTTTAATTGTTATTCTTTTTATCATTGTGATTCAGACATCCTTGTACAAGAATATGTAAAATTTGGATCCTTGGACACATATTTGAAAAAGAACAAAAATATTATCAATATTTTGTGGAAGCTGGAAGTAGCCAAACAGTTGGCATTAGCCATGCATTTTCTGGTAAGTGATTCGGTTTTGTTAATGGCGGAATTCAAGTGATTAATGTAGAAAGGCTGAGCTATTACCTGAATTCTTGAAACTCTGAAGGGTTTTGATAATGGATTGGCCATATACCAGCTATTTAGTAGATACCCAGAGACAGACTTCATATCTTGCACAAAGCGTAGTTGAATGTCCATTCATTTTTAATACTTTATGTTTTAGCATGAAATATAACATATTTGCAGTAATGCTATCCCCCCACCACCCCCAGAAATCAGTCCTTTCTGGGCTTCCCACCTCAGCTCATGATGCTGAACATAAACATGAACATTCCTGGTAGTGTTAACACTTAACCACTGGGAAGGGAAAATCTGTATTGTTCACTCTGCCAGTGCATTCTTCTTGGGCATTAGGTCTCAACCTTACAGTCTTTCCAGTTAAACATAAAGGCCGTTATTCAAGACAGGATATGTGACTAGGTAAGTCTTTCCTTTAACGGAATTTAAATATTCCTACATTAATTTTAAGTGGATGGATTAGTACTCTTCTGAGTTAAAAAATGTCAAATTGTTTCAGACTTTCGGTAAATAACAAATATTGGCTGAAAACTGTAAGTTTGAGAGAAACTGGTGGAGTACCTGAAGTTTGATCAACTTAATCTGTGATCATTATTTTATTTGCTGATGTTTCCCTCATGCTGTAAAGTATTTGTTTTTAAATATCTCTTCAACAGTAAGACTTTTTTGGTCAGTTTGTAAAAGATGCATTTCTGTTTATAGGAGGATAAAGGCCTTGTTCATGGAAATGTCTGTGCAAAAAACATCTTGCTTATCAGAGAGGAAGACAGGAAGTCTGGAAACCTTCCATTTATAAAGCTAAGTGATCCTGGCATCAGTATTACAGTTTTGCCAAGAGATAGTAAGTCTTTGCATTAACTTTCTTGTTCAGTGCTTCTGACTTGAAAAATAAGTTTGGGGGTGGGTTTTTTGTTGACCACCATCTAATCTAATTCTCTTATAGTAAGTTCCTTGATCTGTGTGTCATTTTATAATTATCACTACAGCCCTAGCCAAGCAGTTTTGAGAGTATCTTTTAAATTAGCAGATAGCTACAGGAAAGAAAGGCACAATTCTCCACTGTGTGAGCTTTTTTCCCTGCTGTTCTAATTTTCAACCCTTTTTCATTGGTAATACTATTGTTATATTATAATGTAAAAACGTAATATAATTTATTACATTTGCAGATAGCTGCTGAACTTAGTGTCTTGTAATTGCTCAAGTCTTTTATAGCTTGCATAAAGTTTCAGAAATGAAACCAAATGCACTTTTGAAAATGCTGATTGGCAGTTATAAAGCATCTTCAGTGCATTTCTTAGTGAATACCTAGAGCCACTTGATGTTAAAAATACTGGGTTATCATCCACTCTTAAGACTGTTCCAGTGCTTTATAAACAGAAAAATTAATTAAATGGATATTGTGCAAGGTTGTTATGCTAATGGAATGGAATTTCATGGTCTTTTTTTATGGTCTTTCTTTTTAATAAAAACACTTCTTACTTGGTACTTTTTATTGATGTCTAAAGAAGTAATGTATCTAACAGCCTATGTATAATGCAGTGTCATTATTTGCCAGTAAATTATTTAAATTCTCTTATTTAATGTAAGCTTACATTATTCTTATGAGACCTCATTTTAAGGAGCTCTAAATCCAAATCAGTCCAATCCCATATTTTAACTTGTTACTGCAGTCAGTAGCAATAGCTTAAAAATCACATAGTGTAAAATTCCTTTTCATGGTGCCTTTTGCTGTGCCATAGTACACCAGCCACTAGCAAAGTACTTTTTACTCTTTGGTGTCTTGGTTCTTTGTGATAGCTATTGAGTCTTGGTAAGATTGAGTCTTGGTAAGATTGGAGGAAATAGAGAAATCACAGAACAAATGTAGCATGGAAATGATATTACGGCAGTTTTATACCGTTAGGCTTATTTTACTGTCAAATGAATGGATCTCCTCTTTGTTTCACAAATATTATTTTAATTTTTGTCCATATTCCATGATTTGATTTTCTTGGCAGGAAAAAATACTTGGAAAAATATTATAAGTACATTGCAATGAAATACCTGTCTATATTAAAGTAATTTTTACTAAATCAAATATGTTACAGAATTTTCTGGTGTCGTTATTCATGTTAACAAGTTTCCTTTGTGTGATCACACAGTTCTTCTTGAGAGAATACCCTGGGTACCTCCTGAATGTATTGAGAATCCCAAACAACTAAGCCTAGCTACAGACAAGTGGAGTTTTGGTACCACTTTGTGGGAAATCTGCAGTGGAGGAGACAAACCCCTGAGTGCACTAGATTCTTCAAGAGTAAGTATTACTGGGTCTGCAGTCACAGCAGTTCTTTGGACACTTCTAATTTGGAACATCTGCTGTTGTAACCACATCAGCATGTAAAGTGGTGTGGCTTATGACCACTGTAGGAAAAAGACATATTTGCTTGTAGGTAATAACCAGAAGATATTATTTGATGTTTGTGTTTATGTTGTTTATTTTGATTTTTAGGGGGACAAAGTACAGAATTGTCAGTATTATCTAGTTCATATTTCTGTTGCTTTGTTGCAGCAGTGTATCACTTGAAACAAAAAAGTATTCCTAATAGTGTGCATGGATTTTAATTAGCAGTCTTGTAATTGAACATCTTAAATACAGTAGTACTTTGTGTGTTGCAACAATTGTACTATTTTAGCTAAACCAGTGATGTTAACTTTTTTCTCAGGTAGGGACTGGAAATGGAGGAGAAACACATTCCATAAAAATATTAATTTATATGTATTTGCTTCTTTAGTTGGAAGCAAAAAGAATTCACTATGCCACAAAATTACTGGTAGTATTATTTTTGTAAAGGTACCTTCCCATAAAACGTGATTTGATTTCTCAGGTATTTTAATCAGCTCTTACAGTAATTTCCAAGGTTTACCTAGACCTAGCTGATAAATATCTAAGTATTTCAGAAGTTGCCCTACATTCTTTCATAATACTCACAAAGCTTTTCACAACTGCAGTTTAGCCACAGGTCAGTAGAATTTTCTGCTGGACCTACCCAGCTGAGGATTTATGAAATAGCAAATAGAAGAGACACTATTTTTCTCATATTTCTCTATCCTCTTATCTTCTGCCAGTAATTGGCTGGAAATTTCTGAACTGATCATTCTAAGTTATACCAGTCTTGCCTTAGGTGAAAATTGGTGATATGGACATCTGGTGAGATAACAAGTCTAGGTTTAGAGCTGTAATTTTTGGCTACTCTGGGGAGAATGTTAAGGCTTCTGCAACTCTTCCTGGCTGTAAAATGTAAAATTACTTACCTGTTTAATTTCAGAAACTACAGTTTTATGAAGATAGGCACCAGCTTCCTGCCCCCAACTGGACAGAACTTGCAAACCTCATCAACAACTGCATGGATTATGAGCCAGATTTCAGGCCTTCTTTTAGAGCAATTATACGTGATTTGAACAGTTTGTTCACTCCAGGTGAGTTTGTGATACAACAGGATTAAAAAGACTCCTGATTCCTATTGGTTCACTTTCTTTTTAGTGTGTTTTTTTGCAATACATCATTATATTTGACTGCAAATTACTACATAGAAATAAAGGCTGTCAATATTCTACTGAGCTTGAAGTATGCCAAACAAAAGCAGAACATGCCATGACTGTAATAGCCTTCTTCCTTTTCTTGTTCACTACTCTGTGCCTTCTGTTCTCTTTCTTCCCTTCTTCCTTCTACCTCTCAGATTATGAGCTGTTGACAGAAAGCGATATGTTGCCAAATATGAGAATTGGAGCACTTGGATTTTCTGGTGCGTTTGAAGATCGGGACCCAACGCAATTTGAAGAAAGACATCTTAAGTTTTTACAGCAACTTGGCAAGGTAACACGTTTCAAAATTCTGTAATAGTTTAGGAAATAACTATGGGTTTCAGTTATCCTTTGATGACCCCGTATACATTATTTACAATTAAATTTCTGTTTTAGAAGTTTCTAATTTCAGTCATCTGAGCAACACGTGAAGTTCCTTCTAGCTCTTTTTTTCACTTTCACAGTATTCTTAGAAGAAAATTAGCTAACCTCCACAATGCATCCAGTCATACCAGTAGGCTAAGTATTTTTAAAATAATTAAGAGCTGCCTGACATAAACGATAGATAGATAGATAGATACACACATAACCTTGATATTCAGTTAACAGCACTGTGGAGCACTCTTATGCAGAACTAGTGGGATTGGTGTTTTTGTGCATGCATGTTCTGAGAAATCTGAATATACAGCTTCTAAATTCAAAAAGAAGATATATGTCTTCAAGATACATGTAGGCCTTGAACTTTTTGGCTTTAAAAATCAGCATTTGGTTACTAGTTTTGCAAGTCATTGCAGCCTGGCTGTGTGAAAGCAGACCTAGACAGATGACCAAGTGCATTTGGCAGATCTTCACCAAGTACTATTTTTCTAGAATGGGTCTTTGCTGTTTTATTTGGTTTTTACCAGTATTCTTTTGGCTTCAAGTAATGAAGCAGCCTGAAAGTGAAGTAGCAGAAGTACTTCTGTTTGCAGATGTTTGTTGACTGTGATAGCATAGCTTAGGGAGAACAGCAGAGTGGTAGATGATGGCTGCATAAAGAAAGACAAAAGACAATGTAAATGAAGAAAGAGACAAAATCAGAAGATTGAAACAAATCAGAGAGGAGCCAGAAAGAAACAGCAGAATTAAGAACCAAGACAAAGGGATTTATGCAAGTGCAGGAAAAGTATCATGCCAGGGGAAGTGGAAATTTGTGAAAGGAGAGAAAACAGATGGACATCACCCTCTTTCCTTGTCCTCGTTTTCTGTTCTGTTTGCTTCCTTTCATGGAATATGTTTCTTCTGCAACTGTTATCCTCGATCCTGCAATTTTTTCTCTCAGGGAAGTTTTGTGGCCTTTCACTTAAATAATTAATCACATAACTTTAATGTTTAGTACTGTGAGCACTGAACAAAAACTACACTCTATATGAACAAACATGTGCACTAGGAGGCACAGAGAGCAAATGATGTGGACTTGTTTTTAATTCCCAAGTGTTTCCATTTGTCACCTAGGGAAATTTTGGCAGTGTTGAGATGTGCCGGTATGACCCGCTGCAGGATAATACTGGGGAGGTGGTTGCTGTGAAAAAGCTGCAACATAGCACAGAAGAGCACCTTAGGGATTTTGAAAGAGAAATTGAAATACTTAAATCGCTGCAGCATGATAACATTGTTAAATACAAAGGAGTATGCTACAGTGCAGGTATGTGCTATATTGAATTCACCTAAATATGCATACTGAGAAATTCAGAGAGGTAAGTGTTTATGACAGTCACTCACTTGTAAATTTTCCAGGACTGAGAGAGTACAAAACAAAGGAAGTTTTTTGGAAGATGGTAACATTGGTAACAAGTTGATGTCACTTTACCATTCTGAGTTTCATCTTGACAAACAGATATACAGACTTCTACTTTGCCTTAGCAATAGTAGCTGAAGTATTGATGAGATTATGTTGATTAGTGATATATTAATTTTTCAAGCATATCCACGTTGTTGTTGAGTTTCAATAAGTGGCATTTTCTGAGGAAATGCATTTAATTAGTATATGAAAAATTGCATAGTGATGTATAGGTCATAAATTAATATTTTTGTATTAAGTCCATTTTATATTATGGCTGCTGGTAGAGGAATTAAAATACTTATGTTACAAAACTCGTCTCTGAAAATTACAGAAAAAAATTACATTTGTATTTTTTGTTATTGCTGTAAAAGGACGTAGGAATCTAAGATTAATTATGGAATACCTACCATATGGAAGTTTACGAGATTATCTGCAGAAACACAAGGAGAGGCTGGACCACAAGAAGCTTTTGTTGTATGCATCTCAGATATGCAAGGTAGGACATTCTAAATTGTATACATATTTCAACAAAGCTTTTTCTCCTTTTTTCATCCCATTTGTCTCAAAAGAACAATAACTGGTTATTTTGGTGCATCTTCTATAATGCTGTTGGACTGCTAGCACCACATAACCCTAAGAAAAAGTAGAAATATATTCATATAGTCAAGACCTAAATCCTTAATCAGGATGCTGACACTGGTCTATCTGCTGACTGAGGCAGAATATACTCTCTTTTCTCAATCAGGTGACCTGACATAAAGTATTGTAGGAGTTAATATACTCGCTCAGGCAATCTGTTAATGACATTCTCTGGTGGAATTTTCAGAAATCTGACATTCAACTGTAAAAATACTATAACAACATGTGTATGTTTAAACAATTTACTTTAAACTGTAAGAGCAAAGATACATGACTTCTGTATGCAGAACTAGTGGCCTTAGAAATACCCAAACCTGTAATAAATTATTTGGTACCAAACATTCATATAATTCTGAAAAGTGGTACAAACTGCTATCTGATCTTTCTTGTGATATCTCATTTTCCTTATAAAGAGAGCTTATGCCTTCCCTAGTTTTATTCTGTAATTACATTTTAGATATTACAAACCAGAGACACTGAGATTTCATTGCATATTTAGAAATTTGGGAAAAGAAGAAAAAATGGGAGTAAGGGGGAGAGAGACAAAAAAAAAAACCAAACCACACCCCCTCAAGGCATGTACCAGAAATATTTTAAAATTTCTTTTCCCAATACCTACATCAAAGACATGGAATCAGTAGGTTACGTATGATTATATGATCACTGGGCTGGAAAAGATATTTGAGATCATTGACTCCAACCTGTGAATGAACACCATCTTGTCAACCAGGCCATGGCACTGAGTGCAATATCCAATCTTTCCTTAAATACCTTCATGGACGGTGACTCCCCCACATTCCTGAACAGCCTATTCCAATTCCCAATCCCACTTTCTGTGAACAATTTCTTCTTAATGTCGAACCTAAACCTTCCCTGTTGCAGCTGTGTCCTCTGATCCTATTGCTGGTTGCCTGGGAAAAGAGCTCAACCCTCATCTGGCTACAGCCTCCCTTCAGGCAGCTGTAGAGAGGGATGAGGTCTCCCCTGAGCTTCCTTTTCCTCAGGCTAAACAGCCCCAGCTCCCTCAGCTTCTCCTCACAGGACTTGTGCTCCAGACCCTTCACCAGCTCCACTGTCCCTCTCTGGACATGCTCCAGCACCTCAATGTCCTTCCTAAACTGGACACAGGATTTGAGGTATGGCTTCACCAGTGCTGAGTACAGGGCAACAATCCCTGTCCTGCTCCTGCTGGCCACACTATTGCTGGTCCAGGCCAGGATGCCACTGGCCTTCTTGGGCCTGCTGGCTCATGTTCAGCTGCTGTCAGTCAGTATTCCCAGGTTCCTTTCTGCCTGACCACTGTCCAGCCACTCTGTCCCCAGCCTGGAGCTCTGCCTGGGGTTGTTATGGTCAAACTGCAAGACCTGGCACTTGGTCTTGTTGAACCTCATACCGCTGGATTCAGCCCATTGATCCAGCCTGTCCAGGTCCTTGTGCAGAGCCCCACTGTACTCCAGCAGATCAACACTCCCCCCCTACCTGGTATTTTCCATGAATTTACTGAGGGTAGATTCGATCCCCTCATCCAGATCATCAGTGAAGGCTCTTAAACAGGACTGGGCCCAACACAAATCCCTGGGGGACACAACTGGTGACCACCCACCTACTAGAGATGTGGCACCGCTCACCAGCACTCTCTGGGCCCAGCATCCAGCCAGTTCTGAACCCAGCACAGAGTGCTCCTGTCCAAGCCGTGGGCTGCCAGCTTTTCCAGGAGAGTGCTGTGGGAGACAATGCCAAAGGCCTTGCTGAAGTCCAGGTACACAACATCCACAGCCTTCCCCACATCTACCAGGCCGTCACCTGGTCATAAAAGGAGATCAGGTTGGTCAAACACGACCGACCCCTCCTCATTCCATGCTGGCTGGGTCTGAGCCCTTGGCCATCCTGTAGGTTCTGTGTGGTGGCACGCAGGATGATCTGTCCCATAATCTTGCCAAGCACTGAGCTGAGACTGACTGCTCTGTAGTTTCCCAGATCCTTCTTCTGGCCCTATTTGTGGATGGGTGTCACACTGGCCAGCTTTCAGTCATCTGGGATGTCCCCAGTGAGCCAGGACTGATGCCAGATGATGGAGAGTGGCTTGGGGAGCTCTTCTGTCAACTTCCTCATCTCACTAAGATGGATGAGGGTGTTCATTAGGGTATGTTGTCCACATATATTCTTATGTCTGGTAAATGTGCCCTGCCACCTTAAGATCCTAAGACTTAGCTTCTGCAATATCTGCAGAAAAGGTCTGACAGTCAGGGGAGAATCTCTGCCAGGGCCAAGACCTTCTCCTGACATTCAGACTTTCTCATGGTGAAAAGAGCTTGCTGGTTCCTTGCTTGAAACTGGACTAACCTTTTAGCTGCTGAATGTCTTGCATGTATAAGGAATGCTGCACGCTTAACAGCTTATCTATTCATGTGCTTCACTAAAGGACAGCATTGTGGGTAGTCTCCAGGAGAAGCTCATTCATGGGCAAGCAGTGCTGAATGTGGGAAAACAGAAAAAGTTAGCAAGTCTATGGCAAGTGTCTTCGCAGAGAGAAAGCACTGAACAGGTGACCACCCACTTCAGAGGGTTGAAGAGCTCTCTGATCTGTCTCTCCAAAACAAGAAGTCATTCTCTGGTAACAGGCCTAAGAAATTATCTCATACTTAGTTCTGCAACCAAATTACATTGTTATGCTGGTAAGTCACTATAAACAATCTTTGTTCAAGCAGAGACCTGGAAGAGTCTTAAAACACCGCACCATCTATGGGGGTGGTGACCAAATCTTTCACAGAAGTAAGATGCAACATGGATTTTTGAGCACACAAAGGCTGAAGACAATTAGCTGTTTTATTCTGTGTCCATCTAGCCTGTGACCTCAAGGTGCTGGCCTTGTGCACTCTCATAAGAAGCTGCGAAGCATGTAGAAGTCCTCAGGGTTTCATTCAAAGCCTGGTGAAATAACATTGGCAACATGTCTCAGGACCCTGGTCTGAGGTACCCATTGAGAGGACTTTGGATTGGAAGGTGGATTTTGACCTTTGATAGCTGTGCAAATATGGTAGAAGAGTTTGGGAAAGGAACTGTATGCAGAAACTATGAAGAAAAAAGGACCTTAGTGTGTGTGTACAGACACATACATGAAAGACTTTGGAAATATTATAGGTCTTCAGGATAGTGAGAAATCAAAACAGCAGATGAGATGATTCCTTCCTAGATACCAAGCACCAGCCAAGAGAAAGGGAGCTAAAATATGCATCCGGCAGATACTAAAGCAGGAAAACATCCTGCTTTGATGACAAACCATGGGGACAAACAGTATGAAAATGCGGGAAATCTGAATAGAGCTTGCTCTTGAAGAAATGTCTTCACTTCTAAAAAAAGCAAAATCTAAGAATTACAATGTATGTGCCTTGCTTTGGAGCATTGTTGCTGTACAATCTGCAAAGTAGAGGTTATATTGATTGCTTTAAGATTTCTCTGATCTCTGGCATTCTGTTACTCCAAAACAACATAATTATAAGCATAGCAAGTACCTGATATTGTGAAAATGGAACCTGAATGCTTTTTCTTCATTTAGCTGATCATGTTACACTTCAGCTGGTTTTGCTTTTCTTGCAATGTTTGCCCTTTCAGCATCTCACATCTCATCTTTCTGCTGTGCATTTCTGTCAGTCTGTAATCTTGGGGGGTTTTGATCAAAAACCTTTCTACTTCTGCCTTGCTGTTCTCCTCTGAACAGTATGAGAGAAATGAAGGCACACCCATTACCTGAGAGTTAAGATGAATGTGTTTGGGTTCCTTGCTACTATACTGGGAAAGGGTTTTCCTTCTCTTAATATTTGAAGTGTTTCAGGTGTCCTTGCTGGTGAGCCCAGTTTTAAAGACAGAAACATTTTAAATCACATTTAAACTCTGTTGTTAGACTAGTGCCAGAGAACTGTGATATCCACTTAGAATTTGCATGATTTCAATTAAAGATCTGTCTTAGGTGTTTTCCAGGCTAACAGAAAAGTTACTATCATCAAACTTTAGGGTTGTTTTCAGAATAGTACATTGTAGTAAGAAAAAGCTGTAGCATTTTCATAGGCTAGTTGTACCAGAAACACAGAACCCTCACTTTGAAGTTAGGGTTGGTATTTGTGGCAGTGAATAAGTTGGCAATGAGGAATAGGGTATTTTTGAACAGTTTTAGAATGAGCTGTGAGAGAACAGCAATGCCACCCAATGGTACTGGGAGGTACTAGAATCTGAGAGAAAGACTGTACTTTGTAGCCAAACTCTGAGGTTTCTCATATTAAGAAAAAAAAAATAGAGAGACAAAGAAATAAGCCTTTTGGCATGACTAGTAATAACGTTGCTTTTCAGAACTTTTGGGATCATCAATGCTATTTGTGTAATTTGACTGTTGTGTTGAAAGGGTGGTATGCTTTCTTATAAAGCGATGAAACTGACAACTTGCTTGGTGATTCCTTTCACGTATGAGTTGGGTATCTCTTGACATTGTGCAGCATCACTTTCAATCCTCCATTTATTGCTGTCTGAGTAAGACCTTGTTTTAGAAATGCCACTACACGCACTGGCTTTTTCCAAATTTAATTGTTAGTGAATGTAATTAGGTGCATTGGTAAGGAGGGATCAGCAGCAGCAAAAGCCAACATGCCTTCAGACCAATGCTTTGTTAAAGCAATCTGTGGGAATGTAGCAATAAGCAGAACTGTGCTGGTGAATAATTGTCCATACAAAAGAGATACAAAGCACACTGTTGGGAATACAGTGAATAATAGTTAAATTCAAGGAATCATAATACAAAGTTTCATGGAGGCATTCAGGAAAGTAGATGCAGAAGATGGAGGAAAAAGAGTAAATTAAATGGATATGTTGGACAGTCTTCTCATGTACTCTGGATTGTGTAGATTGGCCCAAACTTTTTCCTTCTGCATATCACCAGCCAACTGAATTTGGGCACAGAAAGGGTGGTAGCATTTATCCAGCTACATAATCAAAAAATACTTGGTTCTGACAGGTACTCACTCTATGTCCCTCCAGTTAAAGAGAAGTTCCTGAGCTTGGAAAAATTATCTCCTCAGAGAAGACAAACTTGGTTTTAGTTTTAACTTTGAGGTTAATTCAACCTCTTACGGAAAGTACAGCTAGTGTAGTGGTAAAAATAACTCTTTTCCTGTTCTATTTGTAACCTCTACACCTAGGGCATGGAGTATCTGGGAACAAAAAGATATGTTCACCGGGATTTAGCAACAAGAAATATCTTGGTGGAGAATGAGAACAGAGTTAAAATTGGAGATTTTGGATTGACAAAAGTTTTGCCACAAGACAAAGAATACTACAAAGTGAAAGAACCTGGTGAAAGTCCTATATTTTGGTAAGTCTTCTTTTGGTATGTGAAATCATGGCATGTTTTCAGTTTTTGCCATTTCAGCCAATTCATTTTGCATGTTGTGGAATTCTTACTTGCAAGCTGTACATCAGTTTTCCAGCATTGTGAAAGTCATTTGCATGGTATTTCACTTCACAGAGTAGCATCTAGGACTTTTCAACATATTTGTAAAAAACCCAGGAAAACACCCAAAACAAAAGTCCCAAAAAATACTTACTTAGAGGAAATAATATCCAACAGAAAACAATTCAGAGATAAAGGAAGTCTAAAATGGCCCATTTTCCTGGATGCTTTCAAGTTTTTAGGTGTTCTAGTTCCCTAAACACTGGTCAATCATGTCTTCCAGCTGAGATGTGTTGGATATACCCCAAGAGAAAATGCTATTCCATACATGCGATTTTGGTCTGTATTTTAATTCTGACTCAGGCACTATTTAAAGAATAAGTTATACCAAGTGGCATCTTAGTAGATGCTATTGGAGATGTACAGTTTAGTTCCAAAAGTGCCTGCAACACAGTTCACTGAAAGTGATGGAAGGCTATAATTGTCTTTCTTTGCAGGTCTTATAACATCAAATTCTTGTTTACTTGCACTACAAATAAGAACTATATCTACAACCTTGTTGTAAAAAAAAAAAATCAAACTTGGTTATAGTTATCACCAACTGTGTTTGTTTAAGGTGTATTTGGTTTTCAAAACCAATTAACCATTACTAAAAGAGTAGTTAGTAATTGAAGGTACCAAAAGGAAATGAGAACATGCTAATATCAGTGAATAAAGAACACTTACTCATGAAAAACAAATCTGTCTTACTAAAACAAATGTTTTCAAAATCAAAATGGCACATATTGCAGAGAGCAATTTTCCTTGTACTGTGTGTTCCAGGTATGCTCCAGAATCTCTGACAGAAAGCAAATTTTCTGTGGCCTCAGATGTGTGGAGCTTTGGTGTGGTCTTGTATGAACTCTTCACCTATATTGACAAAAGCAAAAGCCCACCAGCTGTAAGTATATTATTAATGAATCTCTTTTCAACCTCATGCCCTTTTCTGGACTTGCTCCAACAGGTACATGTTCCTCCTGTGCTGCGACTGCTGATGCAGCACTGCAGGTGGGGTCTGAGCAGAGGGGCAGAATCCCCTCCCTGGCCCTGCTGGCATCACTTCTTTGGATGCAGCCCAAGACATGTTTGGCTTTTCTGGGCCTCCAAGTAGCTCCATCATAGAAGGCTGCTAGATTTCTCAGGCAAAAAATTGTGCCCTTACTAAAGCCATGTTGTCTGTTTCCAGTCACTTTGTTTTCCATATGCCTTAGCATGGTGTGCAGGAGAATTGGCTCCATGATCTTGCCTGGCAGAGGTGAGACTGACTAGCTTGTAGTTCATTGTGTCTTTCACTTTCCTCTTTTCAAAAATTCCCTTTTTCCAGTCATCACAAACTTCACCTTAACACTTCATCTGCCAGCTCCCTCAGGACCTCAGGTCCCACAGACTTCTGCACATTCAGGTTCCTTAGAGGGTTGTGAGCATGAACCTCTCTTACAGTGGTCTTAGGGTCTTCATTCTCTCAGTCCCTCCATCTGCCTTTCTCAACTTGGGCAGTGTGCCTGGAGCACTTGCCTTTGAGGACTCAGGCATAGAAGTAATTTAAAACCTCAGCCTTCTCTTTATCCAGGGTAGCCAAATCATCAGATGATGAGCAACATTTTTAAAGATTTTTCACTTAGTGCTTTAAATTGTGTATGTATCATTGTTCCATTTTATTCTATTCCATATTATTATTCCATTTTACACACCAAAAAAATCTGTAATTATTGGTATAGTCTCTGGATGTGTAATTTATAATTTCATCATTGTTATGTACTATTCAATTTATTCTTATTATTCTTATAAATTTTTGCCTGGTAAAAATATTGCAGCGTCTTTTTTTCCTCTAAAGATTGTATATTACAATTGGCCTTTTGTTTCAGGAATTCATGCGCATGATTGGCAATGATAAACAAGGGCAGATGATTGTATTTCATTTGATAGAGCTTTTGAAGAATAATGGACGACTGCCGAGACCGGATGGATGCCCTGATGAGGTGATGTACTGTGTTAAAATATTACTGTAGTGTAAAGGGTGCTCAGTTAGGGCAAGTACCTGCAAATGCAAAACTTGTATTTTGTTGTAAATAAAAAACTTGTATTTTGTTCTGCTTGGACCACTAAAGTATTTATGCAAGTGGAATGGCTGTGCTGTTATTTTATCAGTTTCATGATGAGTATAATAGTTTTTTTCTGATTCTTTAGCTGGTACTGCCTCAGGAGCCCAGACTGTAGTCTTGCTGAATATGTGAATTGGGACTGCTATAACCTACTGCTGTACTTGGGCAGTTGCACTTCTATTTCAAAAAGATACACATATTAAGGCAGCAAGATTAGTATATAGAACTTGTTCTGTGTAAGTCGCATGTGGAGATTCTCATTCAAAGCTGTGAACTTTAGGATTTTTTTGAAATCTGTAATATTCAGTAAAAAAATCTTAATATGCACCTAAAGTTTTCCACATGTAATGCCAGGATTTAAAGAGCTTCTTATCTTGATTATTGCCTTTCTGTTACTGTTCCCTTCTCAAGTGTGGAAGGCTCATGCTTATAATGTATATTATTCACCATCAGGCATTTTCAACTTATAGACTGTAGGCACAGTTAAGTATATGAATCAGATTTTCTATGCTCAGGGTCTTCAGATTTGTACTCATGTTCTTTGTAGATACTAAAGTACACCTGTAAAGCTGTCCTCAGAGCACCTAAATTCAGCGTTCTTTTGGTTTTACTTATATACCAGATGCTTTAAAAAATACTTTCATACCACTCCTACGTCTTGTTCTTCAGACCAGGGTGCACAAAGCCTGGTTCGGTCAAATTGACCTGGTTGGGCTGTGTAAGTGAATCAGTAGCAAAAAAATGGAAGGAAGATACTTACGGGTTTTTGTTTCTTACATATGTAATTGCGAGCTCAGAGTAATTGCTGCATCCCTTCAAAGTCAAGCACACTTGGCAATAAGTCAAGAAATAATACATTTGAAACTGGTGAAAGGGAAAACATCAGGGTCAAGTGTCTAATAGAGGAGAGAAAGGAAGCCACGGGGGAAGAAAAAATGTATAGAGAATGGAAAGAGAAGTCTTTGAAGAACCTTTCTTGCATTTATGTACCAGAACAGCAATTTATGTACCAGTTGTATTGCAGAGGTTTGGCTTTTTGTAGATAACCTGAATGTCATATGTATGAGATAATAAATAATCTGTTTTACTGCAACTGAATTTTAACTAACTCAGAAACTGTATTTTAACTAACTAACTGGTGAAAGGGAAAACATCAGGGTCAAGTGTCTAATAGAGGAGAGAAAGAATGGTACAAGTGAGGCAGGAAGCCTCAGGGGAAGAAAAAATAGATAGAGAATGGAAAGAGAAGTCTTTGAAGAGCCTTTCTTGCATTTTATGTACCAGTACAGCAGCTGTTGTATTGCAAAGGTTTGGCTTTTTGTAGATAACCTGAATGTCATATGTATAAGATAATAAATAATCTGTTTTACTGAAACTGTATTTTAACTAACTCAGAAGTTTCAGTGTCTGACATTTCTCCAGATATTAAAGCAAGATGGAAATGTCTTTTTGTCAGAAACTGTATTCATCCCCTTTTGATCCTGGAAGGCCACAGTCATCACAGATAATAAATCTTCCAGTTACCTTAGCTTACAGCAGCTTACCTTGCAGCTTACAAGCTGCTTGAGACTTGGTTCTAAAGCAGCTTTATCAATACAGGTGTTTCAAATCTGCTGAAAGATAAGGAACAATTTCTAATTTTTTTCCTGGTAGCTGTACAGATTGTTCTTAAGCAACATGTGAAAAACTGTTGAAAGGATGAGAAATTTGTAATAACAATCTGGATTGAGTGAATGAATGAGAAGAGTACAGGTGAAGAGCTTGGGAAGTTGTATGAGAGCAGGTATCAGGTACATCTCTGGGCAAAAAGAAAACCGTTGCCTTGTAACTATTGTAGTGGAAATATCTTTCAAAGTTGGTTCAGTTTGCACAGTAACTTTTTTTTTTTGCTTATTTATGATCATATATGAAGAATAATTAAGAATGTAATATACAAATGTGGAGAAGTATATGTTAACTTTCCAGGGGAAGTCTTACTTAGAATTACTGTCTTTGTAAATCTGATTTCTGGTCGTACTGGTGTTTGTTATGTTAAAGCATTTTTGAGCTTTTCAAAAAAAAAAGAGCAAGAAAAAAAATACAAAAACTTGGCAAAATAACCTAAGTCTTGTAGTCTTGTAAAAGTTTCAAAAAACAGCTGAGTGAATTTTCGTGCTAACTTTTAAAAAATTGTCTTTTATAATAAGAGCTTTTGCAGAGCCACCTATCCTAGGTTCTTGCAGTCACTGGGATCAAGCAGATAAACTGATGAGTATAGCAAGAGTTTAGGCATACTCTACTGCAGTTGTTGTTTGGAAGCAGAAGAAGTTAAGCTAGATGTCTTTTAGTCCAGTTTCAAGTAAATATATATGGTATCTGTTTACCTACTACCAATTTTTTTTTTCTTCTCCAGATTTATGCTATCATGAAAGAATGCTGGAACAATAATGTTGCCCAGCGCCCCACCTTTCGGGATCTTGCTCAGCGAGTGGATCATATAAGGGAAAACATGGGTGGATGAGAGAACTGTCCCTCCTTCAGAGGATGAGTTGGAATGCAGAGCAAAATGTACTTGGTCAGCTGTGTATATTTGACATATGTACATGTGCACACATCTTATCCTTGCTGGAAGTAAAATCTGTGGCAAATACCCTATCTCAATCTGCATACTGAGGAATCCTGCTAGGGCTTTTTTATCAGGGTATACTTGTTACTATGAGAACATGTTGAAATTCTAAGTAGGGAAAGAAATTATTTTTCTAAATTAAATAATGGGTGGTCATTCAGCAACACCTTTATTTGCCTTACTTGGCAGTACAAAAAAGAAGTGACTTAAAATGTGATGAAACTAAGAGATAAAAAAAACCCAGTGTATTTCCGTGTTAAAGTGGAGATGCCCAGAAAAGACTTCTAGAAATACTTTTACACTGAGTATATAGTGACTTGGCACCCTGTTTTGTGTGTTGCACAAAGACTTTTATCTGTTAATACAGTTTGATGATTTTTTCATTGTTGATGCAGAACTGGCTTCTCTGTGTAACAAAACAGAAGTGGTTTGCTGTGCCTGTCTGAATCAGTTATCAGCCAGCAGTATATCCAAAGAGATGTAGCTGTGTGATGTACTGTAAGTATTTTGAGGGAAAGGGAGCAAATTGTGCTCTATTGAGAGAGACAGAGAACTTAGTAATCTGTGCAAAAATTTTAATTTAAAAATGAAAAAGCAAAGATGTTATCCTTTTGTTCTTACTCCTCCCTTCATGAGTATTAGACTACCTTTACAGAATTGAAGGTACATAGAAGTGAGTTCATTTTTACACAAGGCAGTGTCTTCAGTGTAAATAAGGAAAAGCTAAGTCTACTGCTTTTAAGTGCTGCTCTTTTTTTCTTTCCATCCTTGTAGTTTTCATGCAGTCATAAGTGAATGAATTGAAGCTTTCAAAGCAGGATTAAAAATCTAGAAAATGCCCTCACTTTCACAATTCCTCACTTTGCTGTTAAGACGATCATCTTAATATCTTCCTTCCAGCACAGAAAAAGACTACTTACAACTCAGTATTTGATATGGCCAGTCACAACCACATCGAGCCTGTTCTGTATTGAAGTGACCCAAGCATATTTATTTCTGTGGTAATACCCAACATGGGACTATTTGGAAGGAGGAGTTTCAAGTGCAATTGCTCCACACTCAGCAGAGGGAAAGGACAGGATTCCAGTTACTGAGAACTGGATGGAGATCAGAGCTACCTGAATGTTGTTTAATTCAGCTTTTGAAATAAGTAACAAAAATTTTTGGAGAAGAGAATGCTTCGGTTTTGCCTTGAGGCATAAAACTTGGGGATAATCTCATATCTCAAAGCAGTATAATTGCAGGGTTTGTTTATTTTTAGTTTAAATAATCTTGTTTGTTTGTTTTTACTTAAGCATTATTGTTTGCAAAGTATAATGCTTGTTCTTTTTTGGACTTCTGATGAGAGAAGTTCAGTTAAGGGGATATACAGCTTGCCAAACTGACCTAACATCCAGATTTATATTTTAAATGAAGTGTTCATTCTGAAAATTTGTGGCAGTGAGTTAGTGAAACAGAGGTTACTTTCACTGTGGAGCCTCCTTAATATTTGTGGTTAACTACATCCATCTTATCAGAAATTGAAGAACCTCAGCTTTTGAAAAAACTAAAAAAAAAAAAAACCAAAAAAACCCCAACCAAACAAAAAAAAACCTTTAAAAAAATCTTTACTTAGTGTAATATAGTGCCAGTATAGCAGTATTTTGTACCACTATGATGTTTCTCTCCCACAGTCACTCCTACAAAATTATTATTTTATAGTACAGGAGAGTGCTAAATACGGAGAGCAGTGTCAACCTTCTCTCTGCCCATTGCATTTAAAACTATTTCTGTTAGCATTCTTGCTACCAAGCATTTGCATAGATGATTTTTCAAACCAATTTCACAGTCAGTTTTTAAGCTGCAAAGAACTTCGAAGTGCTATGTTCAACTTAAAATGTTTTCTCAATTTGTATACATTGCTTTGAGGATTTGAAATTTTGTGCAAAAAATGTCTTTGCATTTGTAGTCTCAGTTATGTGTATGTGTATTTTTGTAACAAAGGAGATAAAGCTTTAAAGTATCAAGACAGCATTTTAGCTGAATAACATATGCAGGAATTATGTAACATTTGCAGTGTATGACACTCAGTAGCTCACTGGTTTCAAATACATAGTAGACTAAACATAATTTATGTAAAAATCTCAGGGAAGTTTGTGTAATGCAATGAAGAAATCTTCCAGTCTGCTAATTTTTCAAGTGAATGAAAGGTCTTTTTCTTGTTCTACTACAGTTTGACTAATTACATAGTCTATTTGATTGCATAAATGTAGTGGTGAATTCAAGGATGATTTTTAAGTGTCTTGTGGAGTGTTTTTGTTTTGTTTTGGGTTTTGTTTTGTTTTTTTACTTTAATACTATATCATTTTGAGAGAAAGCCATATCTTTACACTGCAGTGTAATTGTGTGCTGTTGGCCAGAGACAGTCTTTTATAACAACCAAAGGCCTGTCCTGTGCAGAGGGCTTGAGCATTTGGGATGAATGTTCTTAGCTGGGAGAATAGGACCAAGCAGTGCTTAGGACTTGGGAGATACACAGTCCTCTGCAGTGTCAATATTTAGGTCCCACAGCAGACCTGGTGGCTTTCTCAAAAAGCTGTTGAGGGTGTAAATGTAGTGATTTTGCTGAATTTGCTACTGCCAATTGTGTAGCTGTTAAAAAAAAACCAACAAAACAACATCACCACCAAAAAACACTGTATTTTGTATTTTGAAAGCTCTCAGATCTACAGTAGCATTGATAATGTCATATTTTTACATGGCATTTGTATTAATAGACTAAGTACTTTGTTTTAGAAAATGTCTTCAGTTGCCATTGCATTTGTAATACTTTAGTGTAATCATTATGCTACCCAAAATGCTGTTTGATTTTGTTGATAGAAGAAGTGCTGGTTTATGTATACATGACTGCTACTACAGTGTAGAATTAAAATATTAACTACTGCTTTGCACTTACATTGGAATTGAAATAATTTTTTAATAAGTGCACAATGTATCTTATAGAATCTCTGCAATCAAGTATTGTGTTGTGTAGTATTGATTTGTTGTCTATCAGTATAAATATGTTAAGTTTCAAAGTTAGTTTTTAAATATTTTCCACACAGTATTCCACAAACTTGCAACAGTCATGTAGTAAGCCAGAGGAGAAGTGAATTTTCAGGAAAAGAAACGCATGTTCTTGTCAAGTCCTAGTACTGGTTAAAAGCTTCCATAGTTGAGATAATTGTTGTTAAATGTGCTGATGAATACAACTGTGAAAATACATGTAAGAATTATATTTTTCCCCCACAATTAAATTTTTAATTGTTGCATTTAGTTGAGATGTTGACCGGCTGCCCTGAAATGTATGGGAAAAGATGTTACTGTATTAAGTATGAAGAAATGTAACTCTTGTGTAAAGAAAGCAGGCTTTTCAGGAATGTAGGTTCACAAACACCTAGAGGTTAGAGTTCTGAGAGCAAAAGTAGAGGTGTAGAAGAACAAGACTAAAGGAAGAAGGATGATGTTCAGCATGGGAGAAGCTTTCTGAAATGTGAAATGCACAATGAAGTATGAAAAACTGATGTCTACTGAAAATGCCATACCGTGACAAATATGTGCTAATATATTTCTAAACTGTGTGTTGTCTGCCTTAAGTCTGAAATATTCACAGACACCTAACCTGGCTGAAAAAATTTCAATAATTACTATACCAAAATAAACTGCTAAATGTTGTGCCATGCCAGACAACAATTCTGAAAAGATGTTTGATTAAGAAGTTCTGGTTTGAATTTTTCTTTTTGAATAAGAGGTTTACAGTACTTTATATTAAAGTAGAACAAGTCCCTTGGTGGTAGGGAGCAGGGAGGGAAAGATACCTGCCACTTATGATTGAAATGTAAACATTTGAACACATGGTTTAGTGAAGAGAACATGAAAGGGATATGTTTAGAAAACTGTGTATCCATACCTGAAACTTAACTGTGTGTTTCTTTTTGCATTTGGATAGTGAAAATAAAAAAAAAAAAAAAAAAAACCTAAATAAAAGGGATGACAAATGCCTGCATGAAAGGGATATGTTTAGAAAACTGTGTATCCATACCTGAAACTTAACTGTGTGTTTCTTTTTGCATTTGGATAGTGAAAAAAAAAAAAAAAAAAAAAAAAAAACCTGAATACAATGGATGACACATGCCTGCCAACATTTTCTTTTGTACACTAAAATTTGTTACTGGTATTTAAATCACTGCTGAAGGCAGCTGTTCTGTTTGATGAGGTAGAGCACAACACATACAACTTTCCAACCTTCCTAGAATATCCATGTTAAGTATTTATCCTTTGGAAGAAACTTAGATGTACCAAAGTAAAGGTGTTAAACAGGTTAAAAGGTTAAACAGTAAGACTGAGGGCTTTTAATCTCTTTTTTTAATGAAGATTTTCACTAAGCAAATTAATTTGGGATGAAGAAATACTTCCTTTCGCTCTCAGTATTTAAAGAGATGCAAGTCTGTAAGACAGAAGTGCCTTACACCACCTTAAATTTGTTAGAAATGCTAGTGTATTGACTTTCATTACTTTGTCATCTTTCCATTTGACTTTGCTTAACTTTATGGGACAATTACCACCACTTTTAATGAAAATGACTACCATTTACCTTGAACAGAGTTGAATGCTTTTATCAAATACACAACTGGTCTCTTGGTGTTACTCACCAAGTACCCCTGTGTCCTTGAGCAAAACCAGTTCCACAGATGAGTTTGCCTTTGCTTGAGGCAGGACTAGTCCAGACAGTTTTCCCTAACACACTCCCCATATGGACCACAGGGACTTTATTCCCTTCCACAGTATATGGAGGTTTTGTTTGGGCAGGGCACCCACTCAATACTGTGCTCCCTGCTCCAGATGTCTATGAGGCTGTTTTTGAAATGAGTCCCATCATCCTACTGACTTCTCTCAGGGGTGCCATGTCCCAACAGGACTTGCTTCTCAAGGCCCAAGATGGAGTTCCAGGTGCTGGCATGAGGCACAGGGTACCTCTCCAGCCTCCAGTGATTGTGCTGCTATTTGTAAGCATGTAGCGCTTGCCTTGCACGTTTGGGCGAGTGTGATGTGATGGATCTGCAGACTCCCCCCATATTTTTCTTTTGACCATCATCCACTGTACCACAGGGGTTTACCTGCTTGATCTGCTGGGCTGCAGCACACATTCCACAGTGTCCTGGTTACAGAGAAAGGGGATAGAGTTTTCAGTGCTGTGTGGGTGTGACAACATGGTTTACTGCATACCACACACATCAATGGATATGGTTTCAGCAGGAAAAGCCAAGGACCAGCAAGAAGTGGGGTGCACCATCTTGGCTCTCCCTAGCTGAGAAGACATCAGGATCAGCCTGGTGGACTCAGCCCTGCTCTGTCACCCCCGTCCTTTCTCTGTTCTTTTGGGCCCAGTGGAGTGAACGCCCTGGCTCTGGCAGAGCAGAAGCAGCCACACAGAGCCCAAAGCACCACTGAGCCAAGCCAAACCCCACTGGTGCTGGAGTTAGCCACATGGGACCAAGCCAAGCCTGGGGAACAGTGCCAAACACAGTTGAGCTCAGCAATCCAGGAAAAAAAAAAAAAAAAAAAAGAAATGAGCAGTGCAACATGGTTGATCTATCTTCCAGGTTTGTTTTGTTCCAGCTCTTAGTTGTTTTCAGGCTGGTGTAGGGAGGGGACATAAAGCTATGGGATCTTTCTGCACCTTACTGCTTTTGGGCACTACCTTTGTGAAATGGTTTTTTTTGTTCACAGAAGTGAATGCCCTTTTGTGTATTAGGTCTTCCTTGAAAGAACACCTTTCCCTCCCATTTGACAGAAATCACCTCCAGAGGGTGAGAGTTTCTGTCCTCTTCCCTTGTCATTGCCCAAATTCTGTGACAGGGATCCCAGTTGCTTGGCGTTGCTACTATCTGGTTTCATACCATGTGCCAAAATATCCCAGCTTTGGAGCAAACAGACCAACAGACACTCTCCTCTCTGGTGGTTGAAATCTTCTCCTAGGTCTTGCAGCTCACCCGGGGGGGGGATTGTATAATTATCTCTGGCCCTGCCTCTGCCTCTTGTGAGGGTCCTGCTTCCTCTTCATCCCTCACAAAGTAAACTGATTTGGTTTTGGATTTCTTCTTCTGTACAGGGGTAGCTGCTACCAGCAGGGGTTACTCCCCTGATTCAGCTGCATTTTGAGTGGCCACAGTGCCTTCTGGTCTGCTTCCCTCCTCCTCTGAGTGTGCTGTCTAGTAATGAGCAATGTCCAATAAATAGTAGCCAGGGTCCAACACACTGGATGTCCCTCAAACACCATTTTATTCAATTTCCTTCTATTGTCTGTATTTTAAGATCTTCAAATTGAATGACTGAACACAGAGGAAGATATCAAATATGTTCTGCTTGCATAACAAATGACACAACAGAATACTTAAAATTTTCAGTCAGTCCTGGGCCTTGAATACTGTACCTGTGGAGATGAGTCTGATTACACACATCTCAATTTGTTTCATTGTAATAAGGGACAATAATAAGATTGCAATTGTGTCAGTTGACTTCAATAAAGGTACCTGCCACCCTGTAAATGGAGAAGACCATACTATTGCAGAAGAAATGGAAAAGACCATACTATTGCAGAGTTGTATCAGAACTGCCATAAATCAGACTACCCAAACAAGGAAAGCAAAAAATTCCTGTTTAAGTTCAAAGTATGTGATCAGTACAAATATTTTAAATATATACCATCAATTTTATCTGGATGATATCTGGTTGAATGGTGCATGGGGAAAGAAAATTATCATTTTGTTTCATCTCCTCTGTAATACAGCTGAATCATATACTGACTTCTTAAAAAGAGAATAAGTGTCCTACAAATGTAATTGTATTAGTGATTTCACTTTGACACTATAATCTTGTCTACTGTTTTACTAAGCTCATTTTAACTTTGGTCTTTATATTACATAGAACAATTTTTACATAACTTTTGAAGACTTCATTAAGAAATTGAATATTAACAAATCAGTTATTTAAAATAGTTAAATTTATCTGAGTATCTAGCTTAAAGGTATTGCAATACATTTAAAATTGCAGTAATTTCTCTCCAACAAGAACTTCACGTAGCAATAATGTCTGTTATTGAATTTAACTAACAAGAACAATAAAACAACAACAACAAAAGCTAAACAATTACATCAAGAACAGTTGAAAAAAAGCAGCTATTAAAAGTGGATATTGGATGTGTTTCCTGAGCTATAGCTGGTCAGATCAATGGAGTTTTCTAACTATCAGGTCACTTTTAGGACTAGCTTCTTCTCAGAAATACTGATCTATAAACAAAAAGGGTAAATCAACCTTAACATCTACTCTGCATACAGCAGCTTTCGCATGGGAAGTGTGGCACTTACAAATAAGCTTGTGCAGATTCTTACCTCTGAAAGTACCTGTGAAAAGATCCCAAGTAACATTTAAGGTTGAACTTAATCTTGACTCCAGTCTTCAAAAAAAAAAAAAAAAAGGACCTACCATAAGGATCCTTTCATTCTATTCACTTGTGTGCCAGCAATATCAGCCAAAGACATTGCTATTTAAAAAAATGTTTTGATAGCAAAAGATTTTGATTGTTCCTAAACACAGGAAGTAATTTCCCTAATTTTTGAAGACCAGACTGAAGTCTCCCAAGTAATTCCAGGCCCTTCCTTTTCAATGCCGTTTGTAAATTCCTCTGCATCTGTTTGCCAGTTTTTTCAACTTCACTGTCTCACTCCATGCAAGCAATTAATGGAAATGTCAAATAATACTGTACAAAAGGGAAGATGCTGTGAATTCAGTTTGATCTGCCTCTCCGCCTTGAAAGCACACCTCTGTTAAATAGCAGAAACATGATACAAAGAAGATCTGACTGAACTAAACTTTTTCAGTAGTTAAGTTTGTTCTCTCTTACCCTGGTTGAATTATGACAACTATAAGTTTTGAGAGCAAGAAATACAACATCTAAACACGAGATTTGATTTATTTTTTTTTAACCTATGTAGTGGCTCTTCATCATCTTATAAGTAAGTAATCATATTGTTCACTTGAGTGATTGCTACATTTCCTCTTGCCCTTTGAATTAGACTAAATTCTGATCCGTAGTTTTCTGACCAATCTTGCACAGTTTATATTTTTTTCCTATCACTGGAAATCTCTCTCTCTCTCTGAATTCCCACAGAGAACTATTAACAATTTTGGAGTCTAAGCCTGGGGGAGGCAAACACCCAGCTTAACAAGCCCTGGCTCTCATAAAAGGGCATAAAGGTGATCTGGAAAATATTTCAGATTTCAAATGGTGTTCCCAAACCCAAGAATGCACGTAATCCAACACGGGGAACAGGACAACATAGCTAAAAGAAGACATCTAGCTAGCCTGTGTTGTTCACTAGCAGCCAACTACTTCACTCAGTAGATACCACCATCAGCATGGACCCAGCTGGGGCTCTGCCTGAACTGCAGCTGGACTGTGCAACAGATGACTCTCCCCATGAGTAGGGACACTTCTTGGGATTTCAGATTCCTTACCTGACACTGAGAGATCCTGCCATGCCCAAGGCAGATCATCAATCCACAACAGATCCTTGGTAAGTGACTAATAGTGTGGTGAATTAAAATCAATGAAATACTACTCATCCTTTTAGCTACTCAATATTATTATAAGCATTGTATAGATAATTCCTTTAGACATAAACC